AATTATAAGAACAAAGTTACGAGGGGTTGTCATAACGAATTAACAAATGCTCATTTAATCTAATTACAGAATTACGTTCGCGAAACCGCAAGGATGAATTATTAGCAGGAATTTATGAGTATCTACCTATGCACAAGGTATGGGGAAAGCTATACATTTTTTGCGGATTCTAAAGCTTCTTGAACTTAAAAGGAAAGTTCGACTGTAAATTTCATTTAGGAGACATATCAAAACCCAAGTTTTATTTTACTTAAAAGTTTCATACAATGATACATTTTACAGCCAAGAGAGATCCTTAACATTGGTTTGGTTTATGCAGAAAGTTTCTGGAAAATTAGAAGGAGCATACTTACTCGGTACACTACACACTTATACACTTCTATTAATATTAAATAATATATCCGATGATATGATATTGAACATTTTCTACTCCAATTAATTTTCTGAATACACAATTTCGACTTCTAGAGCTTGTGAAAATATAAAAAATTTATGTCGAATAAAACCGATATGAAGCGCTATTTCTTTTGTGAAATCTCTGAAATAACATTTTTGGAAAGGTAAGAAACTAAGGGGATTAAGGAAACCGGAACACCTGTAGGGTTCTCTGAGGATTTTTTTAAGATGGTGTCAATTGCGGGAGGGTTATTTATTGTCGCACATTTAATCCCTTTTCGACGATAGATCATCTCGAATGGGAGACGAATTCCCGAAAAAAGAGAAAAGAAAGAAATAAAATCCCGGATATTATTTATTAAAGAGTACCATTAGAAAATATGTGGTGAAAATTCATTCATTCGCGCTGGACAAACAAGCATTTCAATAACAATAAAATTTACATAAAATCCACGGCATGTAGGAATAGAGTCCTGTTAATTTACATAGTTTTGATCTAGTTCCTTATTTGCCCCACGTAATAGAAGCGTATTTCAAAACGCGTTTAGCATTCAAATCGTTTTTCAAGATGCCAACTTTCGCCTCTATGAAAATTTAATTCCAGCTTAATTAACGAAGGTTGAAATAATACGCCGACTCTTTGATTGCAAACCCGCGTGAATAACCCTCAATAGCGACTTCGATTACGGGCGAAATATGGAAGGAATTGAAACAGTATGTTAACGAATTTGTCATCGACAAGCCTTTAGAAAACTTCGCCGATAAATTTTAATCATTCCCGATTATTATTCCGGAGCACCTTAAGCGGCGCCGCGGCGCCGCGTATCTCAATGCAGGATTGTTGTGACGCAGGATTCGAATAAGTTAGCGATTCTTGACGGCGAAAAACTTTTTACTACTTCGTTTCGAAGAGTTTCGGTTAAGGGATCTAATCTTATTAATCGTTAATCTTGGTTCTACGTGTCACCGATTCTTCCGCCCGAGCAGATTTCTTTCTCATTTTCCTAATTCCGGAGGAAAAAAAGGCGGAAAGTTTTAATAGAATGTTTTCGTCGATACCGGACTGGATTAGTAAGTTTTTAAAATCATGCATGCGGTTCGAGAGTTGGGATTGTTGTTTCAAGTTTCAACCAAGAGGACAGTTTCGAATTTTCATTTTTGTAACATATGGGAAAAAGTTTTTATTGAAGGAATTTTTCGTTTTATATGTTTACTTTTTAAAATGATTATATGGTTAATACAGGGTGGCCGATGTAAACAACAACATAATACAGGGTGGCCGATAAGTCGCTTTATCAAAACATACCTGTATATTCTAAGGATGTCTAAATTTCAATTTTTTTCTGCCAACTAAAACATCATGAGAACAATTATGAACTATGCCTAATTAAACGAAATTGTAGACAAAAATGTTGGTGAAAAGTTAATTGTATGTTACCTATAAATGCTCCGAGTTTTACTCTTTCATAAAAAAATTATTAAGTTGAGCTAAAGTTAAGCTAAAAGTTGAGGAAACCTTTTAAAGGTAAACAAAGGCTGCACCTATCAAATTTAATTAAATTTTCGATTTTTTACGAATATAATGGTTACTTTTTACTAACAGAAATGTAGGAAAGTACTATGTAACGACGGATTTCTTTCGAGTGTCACGGACAAATCCTATTTTAACACCTAAAGTAGAGGTAAAAGATTCATCACTGTAGGAAGATTTATAAGCCCCTAAGTAACCTCATCGGGTTAAGGTTTATGGGCGAGAAACCGCAGGAGCAACAATAACAAAGCCATTGAATAAATCTTGTTGACTTTACCATTCAAAAAAAAACAGCGCCCAGAGGTTCCTAGGTTCATTTCTTGTCCTTTAAACTTACTTGATTAATCGACTTTTGCGCTAAGCATTACACCGAGTTAATTAAACCTCACGTAACTTTCTCAAATCAAAATAAAGTAAACGTATAATCAAATATTTGCGTTGTTTAAGGAGAATATATTGCGATTTTGGAGATTATAACTATGTCCCTGACATACATATTTTCCTAATCCGAATTTGTTTGCTGCGTGTAAATAAAAATTAAATGCCAACATTAACCGACACCGTAGGGATTAAAGCAAAACGTAATAAAAGCAAATATTCATACTTCATTCTAAGCCAAATCTTCATACAAGCTTATAGGTGGCCTAAATAGGAATTTCCCAGATATTGCGCGATAAATTTTTTCGGATATTAAAGGAAGCTTGCCAGGGGAGGTTGAAATTCAACAATTGTAGTGCGTGTAATTACGAGTTTCCTTAGGAATTGAGATTATTGCGAGCTCTCCAATTCCAATAGATTTCCAGAATTTCAATCGTAGGTTTTCGTAGACTTATGGAAATATATTTCAGAAACGAATCCCATAAGTTTTCGGCTTCCATTACGGTGGATGGGCGATTTATCAGCGGGATTTCGGCCGCGGTTATCGCAGTCGATTCCCAAACACTTTGCGATGTGGAAGAATTCCCACCCAGCGCCCGTTCGTTGCGAAATTTACATCGAACTCAAAAAGTAATTACGTGATAATGAACTTGTTACGCCTAAAAATAGAAAGTAATTCGAAAAGGGGGAAAATTTCGAAACAGTTTAGAAGGCCATCAGCGAGAAAACCTAAGTGCTTAAATTTTCTCTAAGAAACTTCAGGCCGAGTTGAATTAATTAGCGGAAAATATTGTTTAACAAGTTTCACCTGCAATGTGGGATATTTTCTAACCCACGCCGAAATTATTGTTTAATTCTCACGCTAAGGAATAAAAATTGCGAAATTCGCGAATTTTTTTTGGAAAAAAACTAATAATTTGACTTCGATATAGCACAGTCGATCGATAAAATAAAGCAGCGCCTGTAAGATGAAGAATATAACTTGTCACGACCTTTCGCAGTTTATCTCTCCTTTTTTCCGGTAAAACGCTTTTGCTTTTGAAATGGGAGAAAATCCGCAGTAAATTTCCAGCGAATCCGGCGTCATTCTACAATATCAACAAACAAAAGCTACGTGAGTCAGAGATAGATTCGGCGGAGCTGATACAGCACAAATTGGAGACAATTTTCAGCAAACTCTACCGTGTTGCTTCGCGAATCGCTTTTTTTAAGTGAAAGCCGGGAAATTTATTCGCGTGAAATAGGGGGATATACAATTGGTTAATTTTGTGAATGTTATTAATTAATCACTGCAGTATAAAGAATAATACTAAAATTACGTTTCCGCTTAAATGTGTGTATTCCTTTTATTTGTATTTTTTCCTTACCCTAAATACAATTCAATAGAAATTCGAATCGTAAATCTGCACACAAAAGCCTCATTAACTTCTCCTTGCGTTTCATGAAAAAACTGCACACCAGTTTTAGGTGCTCTTTTTTGTGTGAATCCATCCATTAATGATAGCTGGAAAATATGTTCTCGTCGAGATTTAAAAAGTGAATAAGCAAGCTATTAGTGGAAACGAGGAACGAAAAGAATACTCTCGGATGAGATTTGTATTGCGAAGTCGAATAAAAAATGTTAATAGAAAGGTTTCTGCTTCGGTTGAAGGGATTCCTATATTATACTTCCTAATTCCGTTTTTTGCTCGAAAATTGTTGGAAATGTGAAAAATGGGAAAAGTTGAGTAGACCTGTTCTAGCCAGTACAGATCGGATTTGAGTTTCATGAATGGTATGAATACTTTTTTTAAGTGGTTAAGTAGGTATAACGATTTTAATTGTTTTATATTAACGCAAAAATAATATTGCGTTACTTTAATGAATATGCAAATTTCGGATAAAGGTACACAAAAACAAGCGGTGGCTATGAAAGTCTCTTTTTCGTTTATTTTTGAATAAATTAATTATCGAATATTCAAAAAAATTGGTTTAAAGGCGTGAGAAGAGCAGGTCGGGCTGACATCGGTTTTTGCTCCTTTTTTTTTTAATTAAACATTAACCTAAGCTTTGAAGATGATCCAGGTAATTAGAGAAAGGCTTTAGTTGATCAAAGCAAACACCAACTCTTTAATGTCTAGTGGCAATTTTGAACCGAGGTGTCGTAAGTTTTATTTACAAAGAAAAATATTCTTTTAATAAGGAATTTTTTTAATTAAAATAAGTAGATTTAGGTGTTGGGCTGCAATGATTAGGTTTAAAAATAAACGAAAAATTAGAGGATTTTTGGAAAGAAATTTGAATAAACGCTCTCTGTTGATACGGTTTCTTGTCAGTTCTTCATGTCATTTATAAATTGCTTTCATAATAAGCGTTTAAATTAGAGGAAAGCCGCTCAAAGGGTAATTTAATTACTTAAATATATAAACGAATCGGTCCTTGAACACATAGAAAATTTCGCGTTTCGAAAAGTAACTTAAATAAAACGTTGGTCTCTTATTGTGCTTATTTGCCGAACATTTTCTGGTGGTTGATTACAAAATGTTGTTCCCTTTTTAATTAAATTATAATTTCCGTTTAATCATCATGCTTAAAGTGAAAATACTCCATTTTTCTATTATTTCAACTTAATGAATATGCATGCCTTTAGCAATTGTATGTATTTATGGTAATTGCCTTGAGTTTCTTGATTTTTAATATGGTAAATTTGTTACAGTGACCAAATTCATTCGTATTGGAATCGCCGATAAAAATGACAATCCTCCTTATTTCGATAAGGCCCTCTACGAGGCGGAAGTCGACGAAAATGAAGACATTCAACATACTGTCCTCACCGTCACCGCCAAAGATCACGATGAATGTAAGTACATACATTTTTTATTAAGAAGTTCTTTTTCTCAACGATTAGAAATATATTCTGTAATTGCATACCTACCAAATCTGTAGGTATAAAAATAAATCCGCTACCCTAAAGCCAGATGTAAATAAGGATATTGAAAAAAATATATAAAATACTCCGAAGGTAGTACACATTTTTGATAGCGAAGATGAATATAAGACGTAATATTTTCTGAGGATATGAGAGGACTCGTTAAAATTTGCTTCTTGGCGTATTTATTTGCCGTAAGGATGTATTCCTAAGAAAATTTAATTTCGTTCTTAAAATCCTCCTTATATTTTTAATGAAAAATTTAATGGAAAATAAATGGAAGTCGCATATCTGCGTTTACAATTTCGAATTATCTGCATGTAGATAAACGATTTATTTACTTGAGTAGGTACCTATAATGTGTTAATTGTTTTTTATAATTGTACTGAACTAAATGTACTGTCAGCGAAACTCCCAAACCGAGTAAAACCTACACAGAAATGCCATCGTTGTTAATAAATGACTCGACAAGCGCATTAAGTTAAAACAATGCCCATTGTACTTACACCAAACCAAACTCGATATTAATTTAGTAATAGATTCCAAGCATGAACAGTGTTAATTGTAGGATGCGAGGGTAATGCTTAGGAAGCTTGGAAGAATTGTTTTAAATGTGTTATCATTATTGAATATGTCTTGTGTAGGAACTATTATCTCAAAGTTATCACGCCAAGTTACAGGCAGAGTAAATTCCTGATGGAACTCTAACTACAATCGTTTGAAACGATATGACCTAAGTTTCCCAATAAACTTTTCAAATAACTGTAATAGATTCAAATTAATACTATGAATACTGCAAATGAAACCTGCAGATTAGAGGTTCCCGTTCAATATTTAACTAATCTCATTTATTCACATGGTTTATGCCTTTCCGACAATGCCAGTTTTATGTCCGCTCATGATACCAACGCCAGCATCAAAACTTTTATTAGCAAAACTATAGAGGAGATAAAAGTATATTTATGTGCACCTACGTCTTTTACAGATCCCACTAAAAATCCTTATTTCTTAATATATAGGCCGCATTACTTTATCGATTAAGCAATTTCCTTTGAGCGTCCACTCGATTAATCGCATTCGATCTTTCTCACTGCCTAGTTCCTAGTTTATCAAATGTAAAGTGCCACTAACTTCGGAGACACGTTAAATCACAAGACACTTGATAACCCTCCCACGACATTTATCCTCTTATTTTAAGACCTAAACGAACAGTTAAGGCAATTACGTCGACATTTTAACATCGGATATATGAGAGCGTTAAGATTGCGTTTTCACTGCGTGAAGAGCGGGAGTTACAACATTAAAATTCGGACACCTGACGAATTTTACAGCCTAAGATTAAGGAAAATTAATTAACAGAAGCGCAGTGGTGTTGTTGAACGTGCTGCGATACGGTATACAAGATGAAAATTTTAAATGGTATTTCCAAGGAGCTTTTTTTATCAATCAAATTAATATCGGTCAGATTTGAGGCCGCATACAATTATATCTCACTAAAGCGCGATCGTTTACATAGTAAGCGTAAAGTAGAGCTTAACAGGCGCATTAATTAATACGCTATTCCGGGAAAAACTGGCGATTTATCATTGCAAATAATTTCCATGACAGTTGATTCATGGTTGAACGGTCTAATAGTTAGCACGCAATGTTTCCAGCGTCGATAAGCGCCGGAATGCAATATTCGAATGATATTCGGCGTTATGAAATTCGAATTTCGGCAATGAGTATCTACAAAAATCCCGTTTCTAATAAGCGATATATCGGACGAACTCCACTAATTGTTAAATAATATACAAATCACAAAGTAATAAATAATAACGACCACATTTTAGTTTAACTACACTTGAATGGTATTCTGATTGTTTTGCGGTCTTTTTAATTTAAATTTGAATACCACCAAAATTTTATTATAATCACTTCATTGCCAATTTTACAGCGCTCTTGATGTGTTTTTTAACAAACGTGTCCGTTATGTTAGGTCAGAATAATAATTCCCAAAAGACTTTACGTTCAAGTAATATTAGATTGCTGTGCCTTAAATCTATTAACGTCGCCCTTTGAAGTTGTTCGGGGTCGATGCTGCGAATACCTGCAATCGATAACTGACGTCGACGTGGTGATTCCGGCTTTGTCGGCGTAGGTTATTCATGTAATTGTTGATTACTTACTAGAAAATTATCCAACAATTCACCTATAAGGTACTAAAGAAAAAAATCTGGAAGAATGTAACTTTTTTTATGTCTCTCATTGAATCAAGCTCGAGACAACCTGTAAGTCTTAAAAAACGGGGTTTCCTCCAATAGAGATTCGTGCGAATCCAAATTGGGCACAGAAGTGAAACGCCTTAAAATGATTTTTTGCCCGTGATGTTAAGACATCGAGCTGGCTTGGAAAGATCGTTAATCTTATGAAACAAAACCGCCGGGTTTTCGTGAGAGAGCTCACTTTCAACAAAAAATCATATTTTTTCCCGCTGTGCTAAACCCTAATTTTGCGAAAATGTCGCATAAAATAAAAATAAAGGAGAGGGAAATGAGCGGTGTTGGTAGGGTAAACGAATCCTCGCCGTTGTTCTAGATTATTAAAAGATTGATCGAATGTAGGGATTTAGTCCTAATAACAACATAATGAATTTTTATTAGGGTTAGGCGATCGGAGCAAGCTAATAATAGACACTTTTCCTCGTTTTCGACGGCTGTAAAAAAGGGCTAAACGTTTCTACAACGATTCAATTAGGATGGAAATTTTCATTTAACTGAAAAGTATTTACATTGTCAAAATTATTCAGGCACTTCAATTCTTTAATAGCAGGATCTCCAATTGAGTATATAATACGTCGACATGAAAAAACCTTTAGCACTTTAAGGGCGTAAATAAAAAAAATTCGCCATTTGAATCAACACGAAAATGGAGGAAATTCCTCGTTCGAATCGCGAACATGCATAAAAATTTCCATAAAAATTATTCACGACGTCGAAATCTTGTGTTTTATTTAAATTGTAAAAGACGCGATAACTTGTTGAGAACAGGCCATAAATTTGCGTCGAGCAAAGTGAAATATCAGGTGAACAAACCGAAGATTTTAGTATAAAATTGAGATTAAGATAGATGATGCGAAGCTTACAATTTTTTCTTCGTTTTTTTCAATTCCACGTCTTCCAATATTTCATCGTTTGTATAAGAACCATTTATTAAAAAAACTAGCAATAAGCCGCGACGCATTCATAAAATAAACATCAGGATTGCTCTCCAATTTTTACCTCTAGCTCTGCAGTTCACACTTCCACGATTCCGAACACGTTTGTTTCCAAGGATAAATGCAATTTTATATCTTCAACGATTTGCGATTCCACTCGGATGTGCATGAATTATTTATGGTAATACAGGGAAGCTTGGTCACGTAGCATTATGAAATCGCTAATATTAACTTACGTGTCCTATTGTACGCGTTTTTTCAGTCAGACATTTCGATATCCCACCAACTTCATATTTTCACTAGATTATTTGGAAAATTCTGCTCTTAAGTCTTCCCTAACGTAGGTGCTCGATCCGAGAGGAAACTGATGTTGGATGAGAGTTTAATATTGTGTAAATTGATACCAGTCAAACTTAGTTTCATCTGGGTAATAATAGGTATAATATAATTAATTACATACGCATATTCAACCGTTATTATTACGAAGCTGAGTATTAATAATACTAATATTTTAGTAACATAATAACGGCAGCATTTGTTATACCATGGTACAAACTTCTCCAAATTCGGTGAATTTTCCAATTACGTCGTGCAATATGTCGTGAATATGTGCTGATATTTTTCTCCAAAGTTTAAGTTTCTATCCTATTCATCTCTTTAGTTACACCGGATTGCCATCATTGATTTACTTAGAATTAATTGGCAATTTCTGAATAGGCGAAACCATGGTATTGTCTAGAGACTCCAAAACGATTCCTAAATCAATTCAAACGTCCAGTTGCTTCTGATATCGCTGATTCGAGTTCATCACCGTGCAAAATTAAATTTTGTTTCAACAGAGTAGATTTTACAACTGCGCAACGGTATAATAAATATATATTATATTCAGAATATTTAAACACCGAAAGCTCCCAGTACACCTGCAGGAGTGTAAAATAGTTTATAAGTTGAGATAATATTGTGTTTGGGAAAATTTTATTAGAAGTTTCTCGTGCAGAATACTAGTGTGAATTATGGCGTGTGTTAGGGATACAAAATAAAGATAATAAAGAAACGGGCTTTATATCATCTTTTAGTGACCTGAAAATAAAGTAGTTTTAAGACAAAACGAGAGAGAATCCGGCAATTTTGGGCTTAAAGAATAGATGTTACGTGAAGTAACTACACAATCAGTTTCTATTCTCCCATAAATATCCACTATTTTAACCGTTTGTGCACTCTGTATTATTCATAAAAAATACATTTATCATAAAATTCAAATTAACTGCGTAGGTATTTGAAATTTCTCAATAACTCGATTGGTTCTGAGAGGCGCCAGATCGATCAAAGATTTAAATCTGTAAATTCTACAACAGAACTTCCCAGGATATTCTATTGTTGTAAGTTCCCAAACACTGTGAAATGTAAATACAATAGCGCAATATCAACGACACGCTAAACTTACCAAGTAGATTCGAAGTTACAGAAGGTTTTCGACTATAATCTTTAGGGTGTAATTCTGCGTTAAATTAAATAACTTCGAATGCCGTTCAGCTTAATGCGTCAACAACAATAAACGTGAGCTCTTATAAAGGAACTTCTTATGCTGTTTTTGTTATCTTTTTACGGTTGGTTAAGCAACGGTTTCTACAGTGGTAAAATTTGTTAAACTATTTAGATAATTCGGTTGAAATATAACCAAGTTTTATTATCGATGTGCATGTTTGGTTCAACTATTTTAAACCACGTATGAATTTTATCTCTTCTGCTAGCGAATCTCAGTCCAATTATAGTGCAAGATTTATCGCTAAGCTGTTACGTTCCATTAAACCAGCCCATAAATATTTTTTCGATGCCGAAACTATTCTTATCTTTTAGGCCGTGCTTCCAAACACGTTAAATCTAATAAATATCGAAAGAACAAGCAAAACAGTAGGTATATAAATCCGAAAGCCTGCAGTATTTTATTGTTTTAATTTTCTTTTTGAATTATGTGTGGTAGATAATACGATTCAGAATTAGAAATTTCAAAGGGGATGAACGCTTTGGAGCGGCCAATAAGCTCTCACACGCGGTCACAAAAGATTTATTACCCATGTAGATTGTGATTATACCGTACAGTAGATAATTCTGAACTCATCAGATCGTATCCCAGATCAAAACCGTTAGTTACACCAAATTAGAGTAAATCTTTGTGTAGTCTACTGAATAATTTTTTCTGTAATCTTTTTTTCGCGAAAGCATCAGTTTTCTTACTGGAAAAGAACGTTTGACCAATCTTGGAATAAGCTCGGCGAAAACTTCCGTCCTTTGATCGCTCAATTGCTCAACTCAATCAATTCAGGTATACCTTATACGGAGTTCTTGCGTTGTAGAAAAGCAGAGCAATCAAGTATAGGCAACCTCAGTCAAGCTGGTAGATTGTAACCTTGACATAGATGTCCAGTGGCATTCACAATCACCCATAATCCTTAAATTTTTCACATTTGTTTCTTTCACTAAAACTTTGAAATTACATATTTCTGCATAATATTGATTTTTCTTCTTATTTATTGCAGATGTTCTAATTCTGTACATTTGCTTATACTTAATTTGCAGCTGTATTTTTAATTTCAAATTTAAATTTTGCAACGCCACTGATCAACTCCTTCGATTTTCGATTCCCTTAAGTCGAAATTCAAACGCTTTAGAAAGTTGAGCTGGATTCCGATTATTGATGGTTTTACCTTAGAACCCAATTATTTTGGCATAAAAGTGAAAAACTTGGGAAACGGTCTTTTAATCTAGTTACGGAATTTTTGTATTATTTCAAATTTCTTAGATATTTGTAATTATTTGATTTTAGAAGACTGAGATAATTGACGTAACGATACAAAAAGAAGGTTCTTTTTATAGTTCAAAACGCCAAACAAAGGAAAAATGCAAACCGTCTGAACAAAGGAATTTTTAATAACTCTTTTAATTATTCTTGTTTATACAATAGATTCCCGAGCTTCCTACGAATTTAACATAAGGTTCCTACAAAAGAATTATTTTCTATTTATATTGGAATGAAAATCCATAACCTGAATATTTAAGAAAAATAGAACATAAACAATAAAGTCGAGTTTCTAAGGTGTAAGTTGGACTAGATTTTCTCCGTAAAGTTTATAGGTCGCCGAGATATCTGCCGAAAATAGAAATGTTTTCGCGAATAATGGATTCGTGCATAAATCAAAAAGCGTTACGCGAAAACATTTCCGGCGAAACGAATTGATGCGATAGGATTGGACGCCCAGGATATTTTACCGAGTTGAAATGAGAGTGTTTGAAAACGTATGTTTTTGATTGCACGTGTCTACGTAAGTCGTAAAAGCTCGGATGAGAAAATTGCAAGTCTTCTTCGATGCTCCATTAAAATTTAATTTCTGTATCAGGTGTTACAAACTTTTTACTTTTTCGACTGCAAATTTAAATTCGCTCACCCATTTCAATTCCGAACCGTCTTCCTAAACCCGCTTTACAAAATTATCCAATTTTCTAGATGTTAAAACCATTACAGACTGCACTTAATTAAATGGCTAAGTTTCGCAAGCAGTAGACCGAAAACAACAGTCTAAAATATTATATCTGACAATTTCGCTTTATCTCCATGTCCGACCAGCACTGCTTCCATTTATTAAAGCCCCATTTTCTGCTCCTATTACTTCAAAAGTTCACAACAGAAGGCTATTTACTCGACGGTTTCTCGAATTGGTACAACTCAATTATTAAAATATTGCTTCTTTATCTTTAAATAATACACTCCATTTTCGCAATTCATTAAATTTTGGCTACTAAATCACAGTCAATATTAACGCATTTTTTTGTTTGCAGCTTCCCGTATTCGATACGAGATCACAAGCGGTAACATAGGTGGTGCATTCGCCGTTAAAAACATGACCGGAGCTATTTATGTGGCCGGACCGGAGCTATTTATGTGGCCGGAGCGTTGGATTATGAGACGAGGAAAAGGGTGAGTACGTGCACGAATTGAGAAATTTGCGAATTCCGATTTTGCAGTTAAGTTATTACCCTAACGGTCTCCGTGGATTATGAATTCGCATTGTTATCCGGCAGGCAGGCAGACAGGGAGGAAGCGGACGTTGTAGTAAATTCTTTCAGCGCGTTTTGGAAGCTGATGCAATTATAATTTAATGACGCGATGCAAATACCGTGAAAAGTGCTCTTGATAATGATATATTTTAAATTCTCCAATAAGCTAAATGATGAAATGGATTCTTCTTTTATCCATATACGTGCAGTTAATTTTCCAAAGGCATCTAAGTGCTATCTTACTGCATACATTTGTGTCACGATAAGATGAATGGGCTTTCTCTTGTCGTAAACTACAAACTGTAACGGAATCGATAAATTTATTACTGTAATTTATATAAAGTGCAATTTGTAATGTCAAACATAATAATTACACTAATTAGTTTAACTTTGGATGCCAAAAGTTATCAAAGCTTAAAGATTAAATCATTGTTGTTAATCAAGTGAAAAATAAAACTGTATCAGTTTCAATGAATATATCTTAACCAAACATTTTAGATCATATGTTTTAATAAATGTTTGTAACTGCACCGCGACACGAATATACATATGTGTGTAGGTACTTAGCGTTTCTAAGGGATTACTTTGGTTAATTAACGCTATCTACAAATACAATATTATTTAGTGCGGTTTTTGCAAACTACATTCATTGCATTGCGCTGCAGTAGATTCCTTGTGTTTGGAGGGAGAATAAAATCCCTTGTCCTGATTTCTTTCGCAGTATGAACTCCGCCTAGCTGCCTCCGACAACTTGAAGGAGAACTACACGACAGTCGTAATACACGTCAAAGACGTCAACGATAACCCTCCGGTGTTTGAAAGGCCCACGTACAGAACTCAAATCACCGAGGAGGACGACAGAAATTTACCGAAAAGCGTCTTAAGGGCGAGTCCATTATGTGTTTTACTTCGGCTGTCGCTATTGTGTTTTTTATTTTTCCTTTTTTTTTCGGCGCTTTACTTTTATTTGCAGCTACACCCACAGCGCTGATGATATTGTGTGTTTCGCATGAAAATGGCTCCTTTAGGCGTTAAATGAAGTAACTTTGAAACGTACCGCATTTACGTGAAAAAACAATTTAACGGTTACATTTGGAAGGCGTCGCCTCATTCACTTTCATGGCATATGCAACTTATAAATCGGAAAGTTTAGGAAATGATACATGCCGTACTATTCAAGGATCGAAAACGTCCTATTCCGAATTTCAATTTTACCTCTTAAAATGTACGAGTGGACACCGAACACATAAATAAGGTTTCCTGCTTGATCTTTGCAACAACGATTTATATCAATTTCACAACGACCTACAGGAGCCCGCTGACCCGATATTACCTTTAAGATTTACTACTATTGCCCGAAAATATTTGTCCACCTGATGAATTCAATATGAGATATAAATAATTCATGTAGAAAGCGTTGTCCCGAAAGTGATTTGTTTTAAGATGTCGAGACTTATAAGTTCGATACAGAAATATTTGCACTTCTACACCTTCTTTATGTGGTATAATATTTTCGTGTAAATGTAATATTTTTGTTATTTTGTCGTTTTTTATTTTGTGTTTTCGTTCTATGTGTTTGCTGCATGCCGTAGTATGAACTTACGCTAGTAGCTTCAGATAGTCTGAATGAAAACTACACTACCATAGTTATCTACGTAAGGGATAAAAACGATCTACCGCCCGTATTCAACTGCTCGGTGTATAGTAAGGTCGTCGAGGAGGAGTATCCATCACCGTATCCTGTTAGATTAACGCAGGTTTGATTTACTACATATTTTTTATACTGAAGGAATGGGGTAACACGCTAAGATTGGCGATCTAAAAAATATACCAAAAAAAGGCAAACTTAAAGTCACGTCGTAAACATTGTTCAACAAACGCGCGGGTCGAGTACACAGTAATATTTTCCATAAATGTATTTTTAAATTGTTTTCTCCTGTTCATTTGAAATATGATCGTAATATTGTGAGTAAACATTTTTCCACGATGTAAAGTTTCCGACTCAAACATCCGTATTCATGTACCTAAAGTTATTAAATGGCAAAGCATGGCGATAGTCTCTAAATATCTTAAGATTATTCACCGTTTTATTACCACTAACATAGGGAACTTGTTTTGTAAAGTTGAATATTACATGAGAAATATTCTTAAAATTTATCTCTATACCTATAACAAAACAGGGTAAACATTGTATGCCTACTCGAACGCTATTATCTTATGTATTTGAATTTTAGGTAGGTACATAAATTTTTAATTTATTCTGTATTCAGCCAACTCAAAAATAATTTAAAAGCTATAGAACATAGAGGTGCTAATGAATGACTCTTGTTGTAAGAGTAGAGCTAAAACTGGATTAGCCCCGCTCAACTTATAATTAGCAAAAAAACTTTAGAATGCAAGCACGCGCGAAATCACTATTAACTACACTCACGAGCGAGCTTTTTTACGGTCGTGCCGAAAGAGCTTTCGGACCGCAACCGGAATTCCGGCGTTTCTTTAGATTCCGGTCGGAAAATGCAATTTGCCCGTTGATTGATAAATGTGCTCGTAAATTAAATTAAATTCATGTTTTAGAATGCACAAAAGTTATTTGCTTTGGAAAGCGACTTTTAACTTTGGTTCATTTTTCATTCGTATCTCAAACGTCCACGATTTGCGACAGGACGCTTTGACTTTCTGCATTAGCTTAATTGCCTTGAAGAAACGTTGATTTAACTAATACCTTCATGTAGATGTATTGAAAATCGACGTAAAGGTTTTCATTGAAAATCATCAAGTGTTCACTCAAGGCTTCAAGATGTACACTAAGTAATGAATACAACAATTTTATGAACGGAAGGATTTAGGTTAACCCTCGGAAGATCTGGGTTATTAGTGTGAAATGAACCTTCTGCTCGAAACAAGGCTAGGTCCAGTAATAATCCAGAGAGGATTTAATCTACGTATCCGTTAAATGTATCGTTTGCTTTTCATTAGGCAATTCATCATACTGAGGTACGAATTCCCTGATTTTCCACCGAATACGAAAACATTATCAATTTTGGTGGATGCACAGCAAACATGCGTATGTGTTTCCGCCATAATTTCAATTATCTAGTATGTATTACCTACCTACATTCATGGGCTATTCATTATTCCCACTTTACCTATTTATTATCATTCAGGTTATCAATCAACATTCGTGAAACAACAATAAAACACAAGTATCGCAGTTACACACACCTTTAGTTCGCTAATTACAATTATAACGAATTCAATTACGCGAATAATAATTTAATAGATTGATAGTTGGGATCACAAATATAAAAATTCTTTAAAGTTCTACCTATTGTTGTAGGATCGCAATACATAGTATAAAAGTTATAAACATGTATAATATAGATCTCAAACTTTAATAATAAATATTGAAAAATTCTTCAACAGAATAGATTTGTTTCCTTCAATATGTATGAGAATATTTGAGATAATATTAGTTTTTAAATACTTTAGACACGTTAATAAGATGAATAAATAAATCCTTTAAGATAATGCAAATTCATTCATTACATCTAATTGTTAGATAAGCTGACCTCATTGCGTTGGATATATTTAATTAACTTCAAGTCAGCATAACTGAAATTAATCTGCATACACAATTTCTAAACTCCGTTGTATGTAGTACATTGTTAAATGCGTAACAAATAACAATGCAGTCTCTATTGTAGGATTGTTATTTTATGATATTGCAATTTTCTTTGTTAATTAAACCGTGTGTTATTGTGAAATATAACGCTGCAAATTTCATGGTACAAAATACATGGAATATTGTAACTAGTGTTCCTAATTATTATTTTTTAAATATTTAAATGAATTCTAACGGAACACATATTTTAATAGGAACAAGCATACTTTAATTTAAATAACAAAATAATTTTAGAAAATTTAAACGTATAAAAAATTTTCCGGAATAATAAATACTTAATAACACCATATCACAAAAAGAATGAAGTTTTTTGAAATTGAAATTATTTTCACGGTTCGTTAGCAGTTTTAATTTTAACATGTCAACAATAGAAGTTGTTTTAGTTGTTACTCGAATATTTTATAAAACTACAAAAGCAATTGCCGATATTTATTTCAGATTTTCAAACGCTTGCTGAAATTGCTGAAATTACAGCGCTTGTGGAACCGACTATCAATGAATAATAGCAAATATTTAAACAAAAAAATTCACTTGCAATTTAAATGCATACCTGTACCCTATGGTGTAAGTCATAACAGACTATAGGACTTAGTTGAGTAGTTATAGTACAATGATCCGAACCTTTTATATTTTCCTTGCGTTCTGTTATTTGCATAATTTGCATAATTTCCTTCTTGCACCCGGCTTGGAATTATTCCAACTTTTTCCAGTTACAACATAAATTGGCGAATGTTTTTGTCGTACAATTGAAGAGCTTAAAAAACAGAATAATTAACATAAGTATTATTCTAGTTATATTATTCAATTCATAAAATTCATCTAATAAGCGAAACCGTGCAAAGAATAGGTGTAGGTAATTTAATCCATCCATTATTTAAACGCCCTAATATTTTTAATGTGTGTTGAAGGAACCCTAAAACTTTCAACTACTGTTCATTAATAATTTCTGCGCCAAATCCGAAACCCTTCGAAAGTACAAAAAAATCCATTCTCGTGTCCAGCGAAAGATGCCAACTCACTCTCATCTCTTGTTCGGAAATGATTTTAATTATGCATTAATTTCGAACGTCACTTCGCCTCTAATCCTCCTTTCCATTCTCCGCTGGAAAGTTCGACCATAAATAAAACACGACATCGACTGGCCGTGTGTGCTTACCAGCCAAAGTTCGCACCGGCTCGACCGATACGGTCATTTTGGCCTTTTGTTTGCGCGTTTAAGTTGAAAGTCATATTGTCAATTCGGTCTTTGCTGTAGAGCCAGCGTCACGGATAAATGATAGGACCCCGCTAAAATAATGCCATGGTGGAGCCGAAGCCTCGTTAGCTAATCCTCGGTTTAATAGAGGAGTGGGTATGATGCACTTTGTATTTGAATTATGAATAAATGTTGTTGAACCATTGTGACCACATAATGTGTGATGGTTCAAAAGGTATAGTATTAAATTACAATTGCTGAATTAGAGGAGAATAATTATATGCCTATTCATGTAATAATTCATGTAGGACTTCAAGTTAATCGAAAGTTTCGGATAACTCTATGTATAGAGTAAGAACCCTATAGTTAAATATTTTTTTATTATTGAAACAGATTGGTTTAACAGCACAAATTGAACTGTATAAATCGATATTTTAACCTGAATATTTCCCACATAATTACCATAAATTTTGGCACAGATTTGCAAATATTAATACCTTACTCGTTTCATTAAAAAGGTTGGATTAAAAAAACAAAGGGAATCGAAATATTCCCTTCATGTTATGTTCTCGAATCTCGCCCGAAGCATGCAAACATATACATGTCATCAAAAATGGATAAAAATTCTTTATTTCATAAAATATTTTTTGTAGTAGGTACGAGTTACTTATTTGTATTTCATTAAAGTAAATACATATTTGCATTTCAATTTTTTATACATACAATAACTCTTATGATTAAATGATAAGGTATTATAAAATAATTTGCATAAACTACTGTTCTATATAGGATCACTATGTTCCCAATTTATTCTACAGCACGCTTTGGATATTTATGTTCACGCTTCTAACAGTAGCTTACTATGTCAGTTTGAATTTTGTTTCAATATAGTAGTAGCGAATAATATACTTTAAAGTTTAATGGCATGAAGAATAGATACATTGCACTTTTATAGGTCGATTGTATGTCGTATACTTTTACCTAAATAATAAAAGAAATTGTGCTTTTAATATTATAGAAAATTGTCTCTGATGGCAACATGTCTAAATAAAAACACATTTGATAATGGTTGAGTTTTTATAAATAAAGAAGAGAAATTCCAGACATTCTTCATTTTGCATACTTTATAACGACAAATAAATTCCATGTAGCTTATATTTTTTAAATTATATTGCAAACATTCGCAGACACTCTGTACTTATTACAGGTACAGTGCCAATAAAAGTGCAAAGTTTTGTTTTATTTAATTTCATAAGTTTTCTGTGTATTATTCTCTTTTTAACAGCCTGTTTTCAGTATATCTATTAAATTATCAAATAAGAAAACAGTCTGTTTGAGAGGGGCCTTTTTAGGCTCACAACGATAATAACAAAATACATGTTACTTTAGGTGACAGCAACGGATGGAGACAAAGATAGGCCGCAGAATATTGTTTACTTTTTGACTGGACAAGGTATCGACCCTGATAATCCTGCTAACAGCAAATTCGACATCAACAGAACAACCGGCGAAATATTCGTATTAAAGGTAAGTTTTATCTCTATAATATTTCATATAAATAAACTTGAAATTGCGATATGAAATTTTCTGTTTCAACGGATAAATCGTGTTTAAAAAAAAAATGTACTTATAGCCCCTAGACCGCGATCAACCGAACGGGAGACCACAATGGCGCTTCACCGTATTCGCCCAAGACGAAGGAGGTGAAGGTCTCGTCGGTTACGCAGATGTGCAAGTAAATCTCAAAGATATTAACGACAACGCTCCGATTTTCCCTCAAGGGGTTTACTTCGGAAACGTCACCGAAAACGGCACGGCCGGAATGGTTGTTATGACAATGACAGCCGTAGACTACGATGATCCCTCCGAAGGCACGAACGCTAAGTTAGTATCAGACGGCTGCGAACATTTCATTTTTCTTATTCTAAACGTAATTTTTTACTAGGTTGGTATATTCGATCGAAAAGAATGTGATAGAAGAGGAAACGGGTTCGCCTATATTCGAAATAGAATCGGAAACGGGCGTGATAAAAACCGCAGTCTGTTGCTTGGATAGAGAAAGAACGCCCGATTACTCGATACAAGTAGTGGCGATGGACGGGGGCGGTTTGAAAGGAACGGGAACGGCCTCGATACGTGTGAAGGATATCAATGACATGCCGCCGCAATTCACGAAAGACGAGTGGTTTACCGAAGTGGATGAAACAGACGGTGCAACGCTCCCCGAAATGCCTATACTCACGGTTACAGTTCACGACGAGGACGAGACCAACAAATTCCAGTACAAAGTAATAGAAAACAGCGGATACGGAGCGGATAAATTCACAATGGTCCGGAATAACGATGGCACCGGCTCCTTAAAAATCGTCCAACCGCTCGACTATGAAGACCTCCTTCAGAGCAACGGCTTCCGATTCAGAATTCAAGTCAATGACAAAGGTGAAGACAACGACAACGATAAATACCACGTGGCCTATTCGTGGGTAGTAGTTAGATTAAGGGACATTAACGACAATAAGCCGCAATTCGAACGACCCAACATCGAAGTATCGGTGTTCGAGAACGCCGAGGTCGGGAAAAGTTTGGAAACTTTCAAAGCCACTGACCCCGATCAAGGTGGGAAAAGCAAAGTTTCCTACGCTATCGACAGGACGTCCGATAGAAAACGACAATTTTCAATTAATCAAGAAGGTACTGTGAGTATACAACGATCGTTAGATAGGGAAGACACACCTAGACATCAAGTTAAGATACTCGCTATCGACGATGGCTATCCCCCTAAAACTGCAACGGCCACTCTAACGGTTATCGTACAAGATATTAACGATAACGCACCGACGTTCCTCAAAGATTACAGACCAGTTGTACCGGAGCACGTTCCACCTAGAAAAGTTGTCGAATTATTGGCTACTGATGACGATGATAGATCTAAAAGCAACGGACCACCATTCCAGTTTAGACTCGACCCCAGCGCTAGTGATATCGTTAGAGCATCCTTCAAAGTAGAACAAGATCAAAGTAAGTTTACGTTTTCACTCGTACTCTATTTTTATTAACGTTATTTCGTTACAGAGGGTGCAAACGGAGACGGTATGGCCATTATAACATCTCTTCGTTCTTTCGATAGAGAACAACAAAAAGAATATTACATTCCAATAGTAATTAAAGACCACGGAAATCCCGCCATGACTGGCACTAGTACGTTAACTGTAGTCATTGGAGACGTTAACGATAACAAAATGCAACCCGGTTCAAAGGAAATATTTGTGTATAATTATCAAGGTCAAGCACCAGAAACGGAAATAGGCAGAGTCTACGTCTACGATTTGGACGATTGGGATCTTCCTGATAAGAAATTCTACTGGGATGGAGGAATCGACCACCCAAGATTCAAATTGAATGAAGACACCGGAATGATTTCTATGAAGTCAGGAACAAGGGATGGAATATACCACTTGAAATTCAAAGTTTACGATCGCAAACACACCCAAACCGATGTAGCAGCCAACGTAACAGTTACCGTTAAGGAAATTCCTCATGAGGCTGTTGTTAACTCAGGTTCGGTCCGCATAGCAGACATAACAGACGAAGAATTCATCAGAATATGGGACTACCACTCTCAAAGTCTATCCAAAAGCATGTCCGAGAAATTCCGCGATAAAATAGCAGATTTATTAAACATTAACCGAGAAAATGTTGACGTATTTAGCGTACAACTAAGAAGAAAACATCCGCCCGTAACTGACGTAAGATTTTCAGCCCACGGTTCACCGTATTACAAGCCGGTCCGTTTGAATGGAATAGTTTTAATGCACAGAGAAGAAATCGAAAGAGCTGTCGGTATCAACATCACCATGGTCGGTATAGACGAATGTTTGTACGAAAATCAAATGTGCGAAGGTTCTTGTACCAACACATTAGACATAAGTGCCTTACCTTACATGGTCAACGCCAATAAAACTGCTCTCGTTGGAGTTAGAGTCGACGTCCTAGCGGAATGCACCTGCGGCGCAAGAAACTTCAGCAAAGAAGAAAATTGTCGAAACACCCCTTGCTACAACGGCGGAAGGTGCATTGAAAGTAGATACTCGTTGTCTTGTTCTTGTCCAGCTGGTTATAACGGACCTAGGTGCCAGCAAACATCTCGTAGCTTCAGAGGAAACGGATGGGCTTGGTATCCGGCACTAGAAATGTGCGATAAATCGCATTTGCATTTCGAATTCATAACGCGCAAACCGGACGGACTTCTGCTCTACAACGGGCCCATCGTTCCGCCGGAAAAAGACGAAATTATGGTTTCAGACTACGTTGCCGTGGAATTAGAACGCGGTTACCCCCGCTTACTCTTAGACTTCGGTTCCGGTACATTAGAATTGAGAGTTAAAACGAAGAAAACTTTAGACGATGGTGAATGGCACCGCTTAGATATATTTTGGGACACAGAAAACGTTCGCATGGTAGTCGACTATTGTAAGTCAGCAGACATCTCGGAAATGGAAGACGGCACTCCTCCAGAATTCGACGATAGCAGTTGCCAAGCACAAGGCACTATTCCTCCGTTTAACGAGTACCTGAACGTAAACGCACCGTTGCAACTGGGAGGTCTGTACGTGGAACAATTCGATCCGACTCACTACCACTGGCAATACATGCCTGTCGGTAAATCGTTCGACGGTTGCATCAGGAACCTCTTCCACAACTCGAAACTATACGACTTGGCCCATCCGGGTTTATCTAGGCACAGCGTGCCGGGTTGCCCTCAAACAGAAGAGGTGTGCGGTCGATCAGAAACCACAGCTAGATGCTGGGAGCACGGATCATGCGTGGGAAGCTTCAACGAAGCCAAGTGTCATTGCCATCCCGGTTTCACCGGCCCATCTTGCTCTCTAAAAACAACACCAACATCCTTCAAGCCTCAATCGTACGTTAAATACGCGTTGAGCTTCGAACCCGATCGATACGCCACGCAAATGCAGCTCAGATTCAGAACCAGAGAAGAACACGGAGAGTTGTTCAGGATCTCCGATCAACACAACCGCGAGTACGCCATATTGGAGATAAAAGACTCCAGGCTGTATTTCCGGTATAATTTGAATTCTCTGAGGACGGAGGAAAAGGATATTTGGCTAAGCGCTGTTCCGGTGGACGATGGTCAGTGGCACGTGGCTCGAGTTAGCCGATATGGCTCCGCGGCGACGCTGGAACTCGACGGAGGCGAAGGTAGAAGGTACAACGAAACGTTCAATTTCATAGGTCACCAGTGGTTGCTAGTCGATAAGCAAGAGGGAGTTTACGCCGGAGGAAAGGCGGAATACACCGGTGTAAGGACGTTCGAGGTGTACGCAGATTATCAAAAAGGTAAATTTTAATAAATTGTTTATTTCTGTTACGTTGAATGTTGTTTGAATAGGTTGTTTGGATGACATTCGATTGGATAACAAGCATTTACCCCTACCACCGGCCATGAATGGTACTCAGTGGGGTCAAGCTACAATGGCTAGAAATCTGGAGAAGGATTGTCCTTCGAATAAACCTTGCGCAAACGTGATTTGCCCGGATCCGTTTGAATGCGTTGATCTGTGGAATGACTACGAGTGCACGTAAGTACAAATTTAGCATTCATAATTTATAGATAATAAACTATAAATGCAAAGGGTAATACTTAATAAGATCTCTAATTCCTTATATTTTGTTTAGTGTTGATACCTTTTGTTGATTATTTGTTTATTTATTTTCTTATGGTAGATATTGTTGAACCATGAAAAAGAATTTTGCGACGGCACTGAGTTTTTAACAAATTTTTCAGTATATTATTTGTGTATTGATTCTATTTTTAGTTTGGTTTGTTATATTAATTAACAGTGGAATGTTGCTATAAATATTCAGTCGAATATACCTACGTAATATTAAAAATGATAAGGCTTTCTTTTAGTTCATTGTACAATGTTTACGTTAAATCGAAGTAGTAATGAAAGTAAATTTACCCTACTAACCGGTTATTAAATTTGTTTGGTTACGTCCTAATGCAGTTGTGGAGAGGGACGGGTAATGTCGGCCGATGGCAAGGACTGCATGGATAAAGACGAATGCATCGACTTACCCTGTTTGAACGGTGGTACATGCATCAATTTAGAACCAAGATTCCGGTACAGATGTAATTGTCCGGACGGCTTCTGGGGAGAAAATTGCGAATTGATCCAAGAGGGTCAAACGCTTAAACTCAGCATGGGGGCGCTGGCGGCAATATTGGTCTGCTTGCTCATCATCTTAAGTGAGCCTCTCTATCCGTAGAGCATCGCACACTTTATTGGATATATGAGTTTTAATTAGTTCCGACAATGCATGCACGTAACGTCCTAATTTAGCAAGAAATTTAATGCAATGCAAATTTAATTTTAACCCAAATATCCATGATAAAGTGGTAGCAAATGCACGACAACTTACATGTAATGCACACTATTAACTATACTATTTAATGTTCTTTACCCTCAATAATTCCTACTTGGCAAACAACCAAAGTAATAGCTTAGCTTACTTAAGTGTTATTACATCTTGCATGCTTTATATTTTAACCCGCACCAAAATAAGATTCAGTGCCAAAGCAAGGAGATTTCTCATCGAGTTTGATTCCGTAAGTACTTAGCGTCTTTAATCACATTTTGTGTACCTGTAATTTAGATGCCCGCAAGGCTACCAATTCCATGAGAATAGTTGTATCAACGAAAACGAATGCATGTGGTTACCATGCACTAACGGAGGAATCTGTAAAGATTACGAACCCCCCTTAAGGTACGAATGCTTGTGTCCTTTGGGCTACACGGGAGGTCACTGTGAATTAGAACTAGCATCAGCCGGAGCCATAATGCCGTCCACAGATTTCATATTGGCTATTATTATCTGTTTAATAGTGCTTCTCGGTAAGTTTATGTCGAAACGAAAGAATTTCTAATCTTAAGTTTTGATATTGAGAATTATGTAAATATATTTTTATAAAAAGAAATGGAAAAAATACGGTATGTTACAATTTAGAAGCTATTCGGCTATACCGAAAATTATTATGTCTAGTTTAAAAAATAGATGTTCTTAAGTTCTGTATTTTTATAGATTTTACTGGTAAATGCTTTGTGCATGTAAAATTAAAGCACCTTACCTTTATGTGCACAGGTAAATTATTTTCAACTTTATTTGTCATTGTTTCGTGTGAAAATAAAGAAAAATAGCCAATATTAATTTCAAATACTTTCAATTTCAAAAATTAACTGTAAATAACTATTTTTCATTATTTTCGTTTCCTCTATCACCGAACAACCATAGCCACCCCAAATTAGAACTGACACAATTAGTATTGCTGCTAGATGAAATGTTAATGCTATACGTACATTTTAATATCGTTATTAAATTATTTTTCTGGAATCTAATCAAAGTTTTCTCTTAGTCCTAGTTTTAGTGTTTGTCGTGTACAACAGACGTCGAGAGTCTCACATAAAATACCCAGGTCCCGATGATGATGTCCGTGAAAATATCATCAATTACGACGACGAAGGCGGCGGAGAAGACGACATGACCGCCTTCGATATTACTCCCCTTCAAATTCCTATTGGAGGGCCCATACCCGAATTAGCACCGCCAAAGATTGGATGTTAGTAAAATATATTAACAAATTTCTCCTTTAATTTGTACTAAAAAATCGTTTTTAGTTATTGTGGGAGTTGGTCAGGAACCCAACGTTGGTGTGTTCCTGGACGAGCAAAAGAAAAGAGCCGATAGCGACCCAAACGCCCCACCTTTCGACGATCTCAGGAATTACGCTTATGAAGGAGGCGGCAGTACTGCTGGGTCCCTCAGTTCCTTGGCATCAGGTAAGAACATATTTGTTACTTCTTATTGAGAAGAATAGCTAAATTTTTGTAAATATAGGTACAGACGATGAAGCTCAAGAATACGACTACCTGGGCGCCTGGGGACCTCGCTTCGGCAAGTTAGCAGACATGTATGGTCCTGGAGAAGAGACTGAACAGGAAGAATAAATATAAAGTGCAAAAAAAACATTCCTCCATCTAAAAACAAGCTTTCTTTCACGCACCTTCCACTCTGCGTGTTTAATAAGACTGTTTTTTGCAGTTGAACTGCTGTTTTAAATAAATTTAGACAATTTATAAAGCACTCTTAATTGATAAAAGTACTGCATAAACTCTATTAAGATCTTTTCTAAGTTGTTTTGTAAGCTCATTTTACTATTGAGATTATAGACTTTAGCTGTTAAGTAGTAAAATGTTGTTACTTATTAATATTTATAATATTGACTGATAATGTTGAAGTTTTCATTGGAAAGATCTTAATATCAAGCAAATACATAAATTATTCTTTGTACCCCACTGCCATTTTAAACATTCTTTATTCTACGAAAAAATACGTCTCCAGTCTATGTAGTACTTGTACATTGTAGTGCTAAGAGTTGCATAAGTTTTAATATATCTACGGCACTAAAAATGATGTAGGACTTTAATACAACTCCACGTTACCGAAACCTCCCTTTCTGGCAAACAAAATTTTAATCTTACGAATGTCGAATTTGAACAATCACTAGTTATATTCTTGCTTTTATACTTGTTTTATAACCGTAATTATTTGTATAACGAATCAGTGCAAAGTTGCCGATTGTTTAATAGTTAAGAAACATTTACCTAATACTCTATTTTGTTTTCAAAAGAACGTAGAAAACGAACCGTAAAATGGTCACTAAAGTAATAAAACTGAAATATTGAAGTAAAAAAGAAATTGAAATAAGTTTCTTCGATAAATCGATTTTTTGAAAACAAAATTAAATTAATCTAGTCCGCTTTCTTAGATATTAAACAACGATTATCATTCACACATCGACTTTGCTCTGGGACTACGTAGTATAATATATTAAATTTTGATGTGAAAGGTGGGACTGTATTGAAAACTCCTATGAGAGCCTGATGAGCCAGTAAGTATTCCTGCAATATGGCATTGTTGCGGGACAGTCACTAAGTTTTAGGTCAAATTACAGGTTTAGATTAGATTTATCTGCGGATCATTATGAATGGGAATTCGCGTGCAAGTGAATGAGTATGAAAATTGTATATAGAGCATCGACTTCACATCGTTTTTATATAGCACTCATATTAAAAACCTAATGTTGCCATAAGTTTTACTATTGATCATTTTATAATAATTTATTAATGCTCACTTAGAATCTTTTTTATGTTGTAGTTATGTATATAGATCACGAAAGTATGAATGGATTTGAACGAGAAGAGAGCCAGTGCCAATTATAACCTCTTACATGTAATAAAATTCTGAATGCTGTGTACCAATTATAAAATATGTGTTTGCACTTGTGTATTATTTGAAATGTATACTTAATATTCTTATGACATCGCACTATATTATCTAAAAATCCGTGATGATTTGTCTGTATTCATTCGTTAAAATTTGTGGCTCTAGAAATTAGTTTTCGACTTCAGTGATTTTTTTTAATAATATTAAGTAAATTATTAGTTGTTTGTGTCAATAACGCTGTAGAAAGATTTTGTGTATCTTTTTTGTACATGGAAAATTTTATTTAAAATTTTATTGAAATAAAATTCTATAGTACCTATGAGTTTTAATTTCTTTAAAAAATTTTAAACCTTAGATTCACCAAATTACCAAAATTTTTAAAATTTTCCTTAATTTGACAAATAGATAGTTTTGGTGAAATATAACATTAAAATTATTTTGACAATCGTACCACTTCCGGTTATACCGTTATTTTCCAAAAATTTGCCAATGAAGAATTTGACATCGGTCCCTTGCAGACCCTTAAATTTTTTACGGGATCCCATTAAAGATATGGAAACGGTTTCTGAGAGGTGGCTACTAGCAAGGTCAAAGCAAGGTGTTTAAGCTACTTTTAATTGGATACAGGGTTTGTATAAAAAATGTGAAAAGTTTAACTTTAAAAATATCAATTTTTTTCATTTTTTTAATGGAACCACCCAGTTTTTTCTATTTTAATGAAATCGGCGGTAAAAAATAAACTTATGTTTTTAAGTCTTTATCATACAGGGCGTTGAAAATTTAAGCTTTAAGGTATAAACCTTAGCCCGTCTATGGTAATCTAAAAAAGCTTAATATGTTTCAACACTATTTTGTGAGGTCCTTACTGATGTTCATCATATTAGATTTTTGTTAAATTATATCAAATACTTTAATTAAACAACAAAAGAGTATAATATTCAAAAATTAATTCCATAAAATGACTAAATATTCTAAATATACGTTCAGCTGGGCGCAGGAGATGGTGGAGGCCCACTTTCAGTTTTCATGTCGTTTTTTTTTCTATAAAGAGTAGGTTGTAGGTAAAATGTACATAAATATGTAAAAAATATACATATACAAGGTGTTTTTTAATAACATGCTAATACTAAAGGGAGTGTTAAATTTCTTGGACCAACTTTAAGAAAAAAGCTTCATATGAACCTATTTCCTAAACCTAAAATTTATTAGGCACTATGTACCTAATTTCTGCACAGCGACTAATGCAGCGGTAGCATACAAATGAATACATTTAATTTTTTTATGGAAAACTAAGTATGAAAAAAGACAAGAAATCAAATTTGTTCTAAATTGAATGGGGCCTCCAAAAATAATTTTTATTTTAAGAGAAAGCAGTGGCGTACCATTTTTACCCTCAAAAATATTTGGCCCGGGTCCAGTACGAACGCCGTACACCAAATTTCTTAAAAATGTTTAAAGTGGTATGGAAATGACAGTAAAAAATTGATTTTTTTCTTAAAACTTTAACACCATATATCTCAAATGTTACGTTTAGGGTATAGGTTCATAGGATTTTTTTAAATGCGCCCAAGAATCACCTTATTCAGTATTAGCAGGTTATTAAAAACACCCTGTATATTAACCAAAGTAAACAATTACCTTTTGTAGCTACGATTTTTTGTACATTGCTCTGCTAGACTGTCGATTTTGACTAGACTGTCTATTTGACGTAGTAACGAAATCCACGGCCAGTGGCTGGCGACAATTGCAAGGAAGAAAAAGGCTCCTGAAATAATACCCTCAAGCTGCAAGGCATATCACCAACATCAGCACAAACATGGAGATACAGTCAAACTGGATACTGTTCAGAGATGCAAATTAACAATTCTGAAAAAGTATTTCCGCCCTTGAATTCATTACGCCATTGAAATTCGGACAAATAGGACGGAAAGTACTCTTCACAAGTGCCAAATTGTCGCTGCAGTTTCCGTTTGACTAGCATCCACATATTCTTGATATGTTGTGTATGAACATCTGGATCATGGTTTTCCCCATGTGTTACCAGATGGTCATACACACCATTACCCAGCGTACCAATGTTGTTGTACTCCTGCGAACTATTAGATATTATCGTGGTTCCTGGTAGAATATTCCTAGAAAAGAAAACAATAATTAAATCAATAGAAATCGTTAGAGGCTTAAAACATCTATATTATGTACATACAACTTTTAATCTAGTTTACTTCGTCAAAAGTTCTATAAATAATCTATTTATTAATGACTTACTTCACAATCACTGCCGATATGGTCTCCTGATTCCTATCAGGCACTTCTACCAGGAAGCATTTTCTGGAGCCTCTTTCAATTCCACCAATCACCCAACGACCAGGGCGAGCTGCTCCCCGGCTGTGCCTCCCCTTACGGAAGCACGATTCGTCGATTTCTACAACTTTTGAGGACCCGTCGTCATTAAAACCCCCAATGAATGACTCATTGAGGTCAAAATGACGAATACAAACGTTCCTGCAAAAGTTGCACCATTCGACTATCGTTTGGGTTTGATCGATCCTCGCAATTGCAGCTATTTCCTTCTGAAGCAGACCTATGCTCCACCCCTGTAGTATCTCCAACACTTGGGACAGCTTTAGATGGCTTCGTTCGAAGAAGCTGCCCCTCCTGATGGTGATACGGGCGTCGCAAAGCCTGCATCTCCACACGAAGCCGTCCACCCCAATTTTTTTTACTCGGGACATGGGGATCTACAAATTACAATTAATAAACATGTGCATTTAGTAACACCCTTAAAAATAATAGATAATAAAACTTACGTGACAGGCTTCGCAGTCTCTAGAATTTCTCAGAAGGCGCCTTTTCGCCAGCCACTGCACGACCGTTAATGGGTCTCCCCGAGGCAGTTCCAAAAATCCTACTCGTTCTTGACGCATTTCAGGGATGCTCATTATCTCCGTGGGGTCGACAATAACTACGGGAGCTCTACTACGTTTATTCTCCATGATTGTTGATTATTTAAAAGGGCGATTTTCCCGCTATTGTAATTTATAAAGGTTATGTATCCAATTATTCTGTATCACCATGAGCCTCAGCTACATAAGCTATTCTGCAACTATTTACATTATTCTACTTTCTTTTTTAGCCTTTTGTCTAGTTTGTACATTATTTTAAATTTTTAATAGTCCTCAATGCTCGTATTCTACCTGTTATATAGTTATGAAAAATTTAATTGTTAATTCACAAATTACCCACATAACAAATAAATAAATATTATTCAATGATGCAATTGCAAAGAAAAGCATAACGAATCACGTGCAATTATTGACATTTGTGACTTTGTCACAATGTTGCCAGATATAGCGGAATTCCGCATTCTGCTATTTGTAACGGATTTTTTTTTTGTTTTCTGTAGCGGCGTAGCCATAGAAAATGAAATAATAGGCGTAGCCGTATCGGTGATCGTGTCTATGCCTTTTTAGTCTTAATTATAGGATTTGGGACTGCAAATAGTGAACATATTTTCATTAATTAAAGTAATGTTTGATGTCTGTGTTTTATATTTTCTTAAGCATAGCGACATGTAGCGACATTTGTAGCGGTTTTCGTGGCAGCATTATTTGTCAACCATTTGACATGGATGGCATTATTGACGTTGACAGTTGACAGTAGCATTTCCAGATCTCCCATTTTCTACAAATGTTAGTTTTTGATAATGTATACGGGTATTATTATTTTTCAAAATTTGAAATAACCAAATTGTCAAAATGCAATCAAAGAGATTAAATGTTCCCCTTCAAGTGTTTCGGTAGTGAGAGCAAAATTAAGGATTCAAAAATGGATTTTTATCATGATGTAAGTGATAAACGAGATGAAAAAGGTAGTAGTAAAGTGATTAGGAACATAGAATGGGGCATGATGGATAAAAGAAAATTCTTTCCTCTATCGATGCTTAGTTCGTTTTCAGTAAGATGTGCACTGTACCCTTTGACATTAATTAAAACTAGACTGCAAATTCAAAAACACAATGATTTGTATACTGGTAAGGAAAACAATAGAGGATGTAATCTTGTAATTTTAAATCAATATTTTTATAGGTATGTTCGATGCTTATGCTAAAATTTACAAATACGAAGGATTTAAAGGCCTCTATAGAGGATTTTGGGTGTCATCGGTGCAAATAGTTAGTGGTGAGTTGAGTTTACATTTTGATATTATTTTGGTATTTGTTATTGCACTTTGAAACCGATATTTAAACAAATTAATCTTTGTTACTTAACATTCATTTCTGTTGATAAAATTACTAAAATTAGTCAAATAGAACATATGATTTTTCATTTGTAATAAAAACGAAACTGATAAAAATTCTTAATGTTATCCATTGTTTCTTATAATGATAAGATCATTTCTAACAGTGTAAACTTGAAAAACTTAAATTTTTTGATTCAAGTAGAAGGATTAATGTATGAATTAAGACATTCCTTGCAGATGTGGTATATGTACCAAAAGACCAATGCTAAATTAATATGGGTATTTTAGTTCCGCACTGAAAGGGTTATTGGATAAAATATTATTTCAGGTGTTTTCTACATTTCAACCTACGAAAGTATAAGACATGGGATGCAAGACAACAGAGTTCCTTCTAGTTTGAGGGCTCTTATAGCAGGAGGATGTGCATCGGTTATAGGGCAATCCATAGTAGTGCCATTTGATGTACTTAGTCAGCACTTAATGATGATGGGCGTTCATGGCAGGGAGGAACAGGTATAATGAATATTTATTTTTTATTTAAAGTGTATAAATTGTATTTTATTTTTCAGGCCTTTAATAATTTGGGTATTAAAACGAAGCCCAACCAAAGTAAATTCACTATAACTGTGGAGGTAGCTAAGCAAATATTTAGGACTGATGGCATCGCAGGATTTTATAGAGGCTATTTTGCCAGTCTGTGTTCGTATGTTCCAAATTCTGCATTGTGGTGGGGTTTCTACCACTTCTATCAAGGTACAAAGAGTCATTAGTTTGACTGGATAATTACTAAATATAAATATTTTTTTCAGATCACTTATTTGCAATAATGCCTAGTTGGTTTTCTCATTTATTGCTGCAAAGCATCTCAGGTACACTAGGCGGCTTTAGTACAACACTTTTAACCAATCCTTTAGATGTAGTTAGGGCGAGATTACAAGTACAAAGAATAGGATCGATGCGCTGTGCATTTAGAGACTTATGGGTAGAGGAAGGTTTTCGTATGTTTACCAAAGGCCTTACTGCAAGACTTATACAGTCGGCCACTTTTAGTTTTAGTATAATCATCGGGTATGAAACAATAAAAAGAATATCGGTTAAGGAAGAATATAAACAATATGTTAAATGGTAAATTAATAATATGTTCATTTTACTTATCCGTTTGATTCTAGTAGTACAAAGTTGTTAATTAAATTATTTATGTCGAGTATGCACAATTTATTTATTAAAAGTTTTGAAATGTCTTTTGTTTATTATAAGTAACTTTAATCTCAAAAAGTGTCTTACCTGTTTGATATACACTTTGGACATTCAGTTTGCAATATGGTCATTTCTATGAGTTGAACAAAAATTATTCAAATAACGGTTAGAAAGAAAATTTTCAATAAGACAATAATATCACTCTTTTCCTTTATAATGGTCTAATGGAAGTTGTCTTTATCGCACTCATAGCCTATGCATGTATACATATTGCAAACTAAAATGAACCAACCCGTAACCTGTAAGTAGTTATTAGTATTTTATTTTAAAGGGTATTCATAACTAAAAATGTCGTGTATAAGTATTTATTGGAGTAATTATTGCCAATTAATTTAATAAAATTGAAGTAGAGTTTGAACTGTGAATATTTGCTCAAAAGAATCCCACCTAAATATTTCGCTTTCGAATAAATTAAAAACAAAAATTTGCATTTATTAAAAGTAAATGCATTATTCTAAATCAGATTCTCTGAAAGCTTATATGAAATAATCAAACCTCTGTGCGTAAATCTAATTGTTGTTTCAATCTAATATTTAAACTTATTTAGAGTGGTTCTAATTCTAAATATCAAATTGGATACACCAATTTCTATAGAATTTCCAAAGGATTACAATGTAAAGTTCACTAATATTCGACCATTTCTGTGAACACAGCCTTCATGTTTCGTATACAATTTACAATTGAGCCCAAATCAAGATGAAACAGGTCAGCCAATGAGTAAAAGTTTACCCTTCGAAAACCAGAACCACCCTTCACAATTTTCGACAAACGATTATTCTTACAGGACAAAAAATACACCATGAAAATACAAGTGAGAAACAATTTATTGCTATTTTAGCATGTGATTACTATAAAGTGTTTGTCCTAAAAGTTACATTAGTCCATTTTTACAATAAGATTAGAAATCAATCGAGTATGTTTTTTTTTTAATTTTACGTGACCTACATTAATTATTTTTTTCTGAAATATCACATGTGGATGAATTGAAATATGAGGCACAGTCTAACAGGAAATGGGGAGTCTTCTACATATACTATTAATTACATATGTACTATAAACTATTTCAAAGTCAACAATTTGTAACTTTATTTCCTAAAATAGAGTTTGTCTGATTTTAAAAGTTGTCGAAAATATCGAATTTAGATATTTAAACTAAACAATCTCTTAATGCCTTTAAGAGTTTACATTTCATAAATATCACAATTTCCAAGATTCGATTTTACCTAAATAGGTATATAGAATTAAATTAGTAGGCATTTAGAGTCATTAAAGATCCAAAATGACCGAATTGTAATGTAATAATATTGGTAGATTGTCAAATTTTGTTACAGAAAATGTGCAAAAGCATAAATATATTATGAATATAGAGTGAATTGCAATGTAAAAATCGATCAATAATCTGATTAACATTTAATTTAACCCATTCGTGATTTTTTAAATGAACTATTCGTTGATTCGCTGCAAATCAATATCATCACGTTACAAATTTAGTGATCGAAAACAAATCCTGCTGCTTTTGCAATAATTAGTTTACAAAAAACTTAAACCAACAAATGACAACGGTTCACTCTAAATAAAAGCCAGTTTTGGAAAATTCATGTCCATTTCCATATTGCACCTATTACAAACCTACATTACTAAAGCACCATGATAACTGATTTGATGGAATTAATCAACAAGCATATATGAGTATATATTGCACCATTCAATGAAAAAAATCGTTCTATTTGTACTCAAAGTAATAAACAGTTTAATAGGCAAGAAAATAAACTCGTAGTAAATTGCAACTGTGACTACTATAAAATTGAAATAAAAATAAGGTCAAAATTGATTGGAAAAATATTCCCTTGCCTATTATTTCCTCAATAAAAATATGCATCATTAAAACATTTTTGTTTCTCTTATTCTATTATTCAACCCAAAAATTAAAAACATACTTAAATATGGCATACCACTGTGGAGTTTGGACGGTTTATGTTAATAAAGTAAGTAGAGGGGATTAAATTTTACATACAATATATTCAGAAGTGTATTGTATAAATGTTCTTCTATTGTGGGGCTTTATCCTTTACGATAATTTACTCGTTAAAATTGTACAAAAGTTTATATATTTATTATATACTGCTAGTCTATAACGTGTTTTAATATAAAGCAGTGATATGTGCCAAAAACCGTTAATCATTTGTGGACTTTACATTAAGTAGTAAGTGATTAATAGAGTACATAAATGTTTCCAATGGAATTTTGAAAACAGAAATAAATTCACTGGTGTATCAGTGTGAATTTGAGTATTGAATGAATTCGTTCGCAATAAAATAATTTTGAACCAAATGCATTATCATATTTCAAAAATATTAAACTTAATAATGTGTTATTGCCTGTCCGATAAGATTTGCTCATAAAGTAAGTCACCCTTCGATGATTGATATGTATTCACAATGTTCATAAAATCAACATTTTGTGGAAGCCCTAAAATTAACTAATTTCTTCATCAAGCACATCAAAAATTCAAAAATCGCTCAAACAAAGAAAACCGACCAAATTATCCACATTGGCATTGGTAATAGATTTACTATAATTGTAACCACATTTAATATAAATACTGGTTCTACAAATTAACATCTCAATAAAATCAAATGTACAACATAAAGTGGTAATATACACATATAAAAACAAAAAAAAATATAAAGTAAAACCTCCTACCTTTACTTTTTAAACAGTGGATGGCCGCATAATTAAAAACAAAAAGGATTCACACTACCTGAGCCGAATCCCCTTATGACCTGTATCCCATGATATCGAAGGTATCCAAATACAGCTCGTCCAATGGCTCCAGCATGCCCGTACTGCTGTCCATCTGCGTGTTGATCGTCGTTGCCGAACTACACAGACATAACCAGACATCACATACTGCAACACAGACAACCAATAAATGTGAAATGGCAGGATTTTAGCCCAGTCGACGAGTTACACAAATTACTTGACAAAAACCTCAAATAGAAACGAATCGATTTCACTCTTCAAGCTAACATATTTTAATGAAAACATTGACCAAATTAACAAGACACCCATGTTAGCTCGGAGGTGTGATAAACAATCCCCTCTCAATGGACTAGGCTAAAATATTAAAGCTACACCGTGATTAATAAAATTGAAATGTTGCAATGTGTCTGGTTAAGTCTGTTTGCAGCATGCTTAAAAAATGGCTTTCTCAAACCCAATAATAGTCCCAGAAATCACAGTCAATCGTAATATTCGTAATCGAAACAGGTATTTTAATAAACAGAAAATGTCAATATAGGGCATTTTCATTTATTAATTTCCGGTCATTTCAAAATGAGACGTGAAAATGAAGTTAATTAAAACTGGGACACACTGCGACATAGTAATTTTATACTTAAATTTTAGTGTCACCAAGTAAATAAAAATAAGTTAACAAATATGTACTGGGTGTTGCCATATTTTCATATACTATAAAAGATGAAAATTTAGAATTATTCTATTAAAAATGAAAGGTTTATATAACACCCAATACCTTAATAAAAGAGAATCTTGTTAAAATATCTGTTACCTTATTTTATGTAATTAAAAGAAAAAAGCAACGGAATAGGTAACCAAAAAATTCAATAAAAGAGTATACAATTTAATGATTATAATTAAAGTTCAATTACAATTCTTACAAAAAGTGCTTGAATCTGCATTAATTTATGTAAATACTTCAAGTTAAGCTTGTTAAACAAGATATTTCATTTTATTAAATATATGAAAAATTTAACAAATAACCTATGTTATCAAAATTTAGTTAATATTTTAAAAATACAATTTGATTAATATGCAGTCAACATTTATCACATACTCATAAGTTCAATAATAAACGATTTAATAGGGGTTAAACTGCCAGTTTTGACATCCAATCGATTTTTATGCAAATAACTTGATCAAAACAATTAGTAAATAAGTAAATCATAAACATAATTTTATAGTAGATATTTAGTGGATTTAGTAGAACACGTGCGGTTCGAATTTTGAATAATTTTTTCTTTTGCATTTTTCATTGGAAATTTTATCTTTGAACGTCAGCCAAAATTTTATTTAGATTAAATTTTAATCTACTCCTGTCAAAATACTTTTATGTGCACCCCCACTTTAAAACATCATTCACCATATTTATCTAATTCTAACTAATTTAATTAATTATAAAAACTTAATTTAATATGGCTGATTAATACTTATACCAATTTAGCTTTAAAATATATTAAAAATATTAAGCAATTGGACATCGAAACGTCAACAAGTTAATGCAAGCGTACGTTTAAAAAAAGTATAATTTAAAAAAAATAGTAAAAAAATATAAAAACCTAATACTAAAAATAAAGCACAATTACTTCACAGATATTTTTACGTCTTTTTTTTTAACAATGAAAAAAATTATTTGGTCCTTTTTCCCTTTGTTCTTATAGATCAAGCATGCTAGGAAAGCTAACAAAAGAAATTCGAATGGTTTAAGTGTGTCCTTTTAAATATTAAGCGAGACTTACCTGCTGGCAACGGACGGAGTGTCGCGCGTCGGGTCGGGAGATTGCACCAAAATGTGTTGCGGAGTGTTCGCAAAGCTCGTGTGACCAGAAGAAAATCCGGGAATTTGCGTCACTAAAGTGGGTCGAACGTAACCGTTGTTGTTTGTCGGAGGATTGTCTGCCGATTAAAACATAATTTAAAATATTCGATATTTAATTGAATTGCTGTTTTAAGAAGAACAGTCGCAAGCGATTTGCGATTGGTAGATTATACAGGGGCCTAAAATACGTTGTTTAACCCAACTATAACTTAATACAGCCAACTTATGAATTATCGAAGATTTTAAGTAACAATAATAGTGTCCATGACTTTATTTTTTAGCGTTTTGATGACGTACATATGTTCATATGAAGATTTTTTATTAAAATGGGTCCAAGAAACATCTCCTTCAGTATTAGCATGTTATTAAAAAACACCCTGTACTGTAAGGGAGATTAAAAATAGGAGATATTATTGCTTGAAGTCTCTATATTAGGTATAAAAACATTCAAATCAATTGATGAAGCCAAATTTGAATCTTACTAGAATTACTGAACCTATGTTTTAAAATTAAATTTACCTATAAAATGAACTAATAATTTTCTCAATTATGCATTAGTTAAAAAAACATTTTAACAGAGCATCATGCTTGATGAACCCTTTATAATGATTCAATTGATGTCTCATACTTATCGATTAATGCTCTTAGTACACCTATAAATATATCAAATTTAGTTGTTTAAAGTAAGAGTATTACTTTGAAGGCCTACAACTTCTCAGAAATGTAACATTGTATTAGGTCAAGTTAAGTTAAACAATATATTGCTCTGTATAGAAACTTACCTTGATAAGGTGTGTAATATTTTCCAAACGGTACATCTTTTTGTATATCTGGATACAAATAAACGAGATGATTCAAATCAGCGATGCGATCTGCAAGAGACCTGATGGCAAAATCTTTGGATGTGAACGGTTGTAGACTGAAAACTTCTCCTGTGTCTACATAAAACATCGTTACATATTTCTAACAAACTCAGTCATTATACATTACTACCTGATATCCATGCAATTGTTATTCCACCAAGTTCGCTGTCTGAAAATCTCAAGAGAAACGTTCCACAATGGCATCCGCCCAATAACTCCTCAGCCTGCCGTTTTCTTACAAAACCCAATATGGCACTGAAATAATAAAGAAAATTATATTTTCATAAATCGACCATTTAAGTACGGCAAATAAATACCCATCGACCCATGGTCCTCTCAAATGTTCTCTGGTAAGTTTCATAATGGCATAGAACCATTCCCAAAACGTGAAATTCCTTTCGTTTAACGGTTCTTTGCAAAACTGCGCCCACGTCAACAAAGAATTGCTGTTTTCATTTTGACTTCCCCTGAATGCTTTTTCTCCCAAGAAACGCAAATTATCGTCTGTCAGACCTCTACCGGTCGCAGCGCGAAATTTCAACGACAACGTCTCTGCCACTTTATTCCAAGCAACCTGTTAAAATAAAAAAAGAACATGAAACTCCTCTATATTACCGAGTAACAGTGTTTTACAACTTACTTTATCGGGCACAGTAAACGGTACACGTCCTGGTTCACTAAAAGCATTATCCCAAGTAACCGTTGCCCAAGCGTGGGGTTCTTGATTACCGTGAACAATGACCACTACGGGCAAACTTAGAGTCCAGACTTGGAACATTAATTCGCCGCCTCCGACACTGAATTGTGATTGAAACAGGAGCGAAAACTTTTCATCCATTACGCTCTCGGTACCTAGAATAATCAAATTATTAACAAATACTTTTATCTAACCATGATAAAGACAGACCTTTCTTTTCTGCTCGCTTGATTTTCTTCAACTGCATATTTCTAAAACTGACGGAAAGTTGCCTAGTGTTCTGTTGGTACTCCATAGTACCGTTGTTGTTTAATATCTCGCCGGAAGATTCGCCGCTTTTACCTAATTTGTCGCTTTTAAGGAGCATATTAGCCTGCGACTCGGATATAATTGTAACTTTCACTTGCGGTGGCGTCATATGTACATTTAATTTACCACCGACCAACAAACGTACAGTAGCAGTGAATCTATAAACAAAATAATATTTAATAAAAGTTTACGATAGATAAAGTGTACACCTAGGCGCATAAAAGTTTGGAATGTAGTCATTTCTATGAGTTAAACAAAGATTATTAAAATAAGAAGTAGAGTAAGAAAGTTGCAATCGGACAATAGTCCATATTTATAAAAATGAAGAAGCATTTACTTTGAAGTAAAAGGTACAAGCAAAAAGTAAGAGGAAAAGTTTCTCTAAACCAATTTCATAATCTCAAAGTTGTCTATGTTGCACCCATAGCCTATATTGCAAGCCAAAATGAATGAAGCTGTATATCAATTACCTGGTATTCGTTTTCATGACTTGGGGAGGTTGTTTTTCGATAATAAACGTCGATGTAACTAATGTCGAGAGAAGTTGAGTAAATTCTTGAACCAGTTGCGGCAATACATCAGCGACAACGGGCGGATATTCGACTTGCAATCTAGACTTCAATCTTTCCACTTCTTTCGTCTGTTGTCGATTCAACCATATGAGTTCCGCCAAATTTTCGCACCTAAATTACATTCAATTACAATCGAAAATAAAACATACAATATAAAAAAATAGTGCCTACCAATCTTGAATAGTGTCCAAATTGCTTGTGAATGTCGCCCCGTTGCCGGACAATTGCTGATCGCGTTTCCATTTAATCAATTCCTCATCTAAAACCTGCGTCTGTAGCTGTGCCAAAAGTTGATATGTTTCCTTCAGTTTTTCCCCCAAAGCCAGTCTCATCTGCATTAAGCCAGCTAACTTTTGATTAAGAATTTGTTCCAGTGATTCTTTCTGTTTTTGAAGCTTGGAAACGTTGGCCGGTAATTGAGCATTAGGTTGGGAAATTATCGTTTGTAAATGTGCTAAAAACATATATCATTTCTGTAATTGTACAATTGTAATTATACAATATCTGTAATGTATTTTTCGAGTTTCTCTTACAAAGTTTTCAAAATAAAGTAATTGTACAATTGTAATTATACAATATCTGTAATGTATTTTTCGAGTTTCTCTTACAAAGTTTTCAAAATAAAGTTTTACAGTTTATAATAATGGTTTTAAGAGTTATTTACTGTGAATAATGAGAAGATAAAAATGTCTTACCACTAATTTTAGAGCATTCATGATATTGCAAAGCAAACGATTCTAATTCACTTTCCATTTTTCGTAAATCTTCGGCAGTTCCCTAAGAAAATAAAAAAATTAAACAAAAGTTTCATTTATAAAATAAAATATAATACACACCTGTGTCCTACTCCTTAAAACATTAACTTTCTGCAAAACCTCAGCTCCGCTATTCGACATCATTATATTAGGTAATCCGGCCAAATTATCAATACCTGCTGTTTGAATTAACCTCATTTCAGCAGCAAGTCGATCTCGAATTAGATTAAATAATTGCATTGGATTAGAACTAAAATTAGAAAATAAATTCAGTATGACAAAAAAAAAGTAATTGTAAAGAATTCCAAGGAATTGCATATATTGAGTAACAAAATAGTGATACTTTTGCATGAATCATCGTTTAAATTGTTACACATTTATGCAAAATAAAATTTAGTTGTTTTTTTTTTAAACAAAACAATATTTTATGTATTGTATCATGTTTTTTTATAAATACAAAATAATGTAACATATTTACTTACCCATATCTCACTCGGAGTTGTTTTGCGGCCTCAGCAAGTTTGAGTTTAGTTAGAAAATAATCGGAGTCGTTTACAATCGCAGCTCTATTTTCAATTTCAGTTATTAAGGAATTCACCAAATTCGCAATAAATTGCTCGTGCTGGGGATTGTCTGGTTGCGGCTCGATATCCAAGCTGGAAGCATAACAGATAACAATGTACAAGTCACTATTCAATAATTTTCGAAATATTTAAGTATTTTTTAATATCCCGATAACTAGTGAATTCTAAAATTGCACCGATTCAAAGAAACTTACGAAATGAACGTACCTATTATCAGATATACAAGTGCATATTTGATAACTAAATAATAATCTTTATTTGCAGAGGAAAATCAGATATTACATACCTAACGTATGTAATAAATTACATTATTTTCGTAAGAAAGTAGCCAACTAGATAGTAACCCCTTTGTTACATTAACTATCAGAGTTGTTGAAACATAAATCAATGAAATTTGGAAACTTAATGAAACAAAAATAATCGAAAATAACTCACCAAAACTTTTCTTCGATATAGGAGGCCAAATAATGCCTTACTTCTATTGGGAAAATGTCCCTATCGCCGTATATTTGCTGCCAACTTCCTGGTGGAAGTTGCTGAATTTTAGTCCACAGTGCCATGATTATAGTCTGAAAATAAAAGAACTACTATAAAAACGGTTTTTAACACATCGAAAACTCGTAATAAATATTTAAAAATCCATTATCAGCTCTATGAACGCAAAAATTTCTCAAGGTCAACTTGAGCGGGACCCATATACACATGCAAGCATCGACATCAAATTTTGTTTACAAAAAGGCGTTATAGCTCCTATTACGCATTTCTATGAATAAATGTAAAGCTACCGATTACCGAAATGTATTTAATTATTCAGGCAATCAACTTCTACTCGCCTAATCTTAATGCAAACTGATAAAATTATAAATATTGCGATAATTTACCTATCACAGCATATCAACAACATGGCAACCTGAACCTGAGCAATAAAAAACTAAAAACAACTGTCTCTCTCTTTTCAGTCTTTTCTGACTTTTGACGTTTGACGTTTATTTACACAAGCAAAGTCAAGGTTATCTGTTAGGCATATTTTCGTAAACAACTTTTTGAAAATTTGATTTTTTTATCGAGTAAAATTATTGATGATTTGATTTCTATATTTATAGTGGAAGGCAGTCTACAGTCTACACTATTAACAGTTTCCACAAGTAAAATGAAACTACAACATATTTCTAGTAGCTGTCAACCGCAAAGGAAAAGACTAGAAAGGATTAAAATAAATTAATAATTTACAAAATATGTACTATTTGATCATAGAGAAAGAAAGATTGTCTATGTATTTGATTATCTGAATCATAAAAAAATAAAAATCCTTCCTTACTGTATTTTCTCTTCTTATTTTTGCCTAAATGGATTAACTGGGAATGAATTTGATCAATGTTTGAAAGATTCGACGAGAAAAGAAACAACTTTTCGGGTTAATTAACAAAGATCTGAAATAAATAAAAACGTTTTTTTAACGTGCATTTATAACAAAAGACTCAACAATCCGACAACATTTTAAATAAGATTGGATAAAGCGGATAATACACATTTTACTTAACAGAACTGCACTAACTAGTATACTAGTATACTAGTATTTAGTACAGATATACATACAATATTGCAATAATCTACGATCTACATTTTGTAACAAATAGATTATTATAGTTATACAAAATGCTACCTACATTAGATTAGTGAATTGAACAATGATGAATAAAATTGGCATTTCTTACAACTATAAAATCTTAGTTTTTCATTGTACATAATTTAACTCCTACGATTTTATTTTTAAAAATAATTTGATTTGTAAAGTTTCTTATATCTAGGTAAAACTCTGAAAAATATCTTCATAAAATATCTTTTGTTCTTCCGAGATAATATTGACAATTTTTGTTCAGCAGTCACATTTTTTATAAAATAATTAAAATTACAAACAATTAAATATTCAACTAATAATTGACTCAGCAGAGAAAACATCGCTTATGCTTTGGACAATATAACTTATTAACTTATTAATATCAAAAGTTATTCCTTTCAAATTTTACTGCCAACATGCTAAATTATGTACTCACTCTATTAGAACTAATTATTCAAAAAAGAATAATTTGTCCTATCTTTAAAAAAGCAATTCCTTAAAAATTCCTTAATAGTATCATACGTCGTGTAACTGATCCCAACTGCTATCGGTCCTTTGATCCAATTCATGGAGAGTCCTTTATAAAAACCACGTTGTATTCCTTCGATTCTACAAAAAAACAAATTTTTAAATAAAGTAAAGCCTCATTTAAACAACAACGAACGTACTCATAAATATATTTTAGTGTACCAACGACGGTCGAATATTTCCCGTTGGTGTCAGTCTGCATTCTCCTCCTTACTATATCTAACGGGTACGAACTACTCTGACCTAGCATACCGGCTATGGCTCCGAAACACAGGGCTGCTAAAGGATGCGTTGTCAGTCTAGGATCCACATGTTCTGAAACAACAAACTACGCTGACCTAATGGCAGAATTTCAAAATCGCCTTCATTTCTTCACAAATAAGATATTTCCCTAATTGTACATAGTATAGAAATGTGTACCTAATGAACTTCACAGTAATTTCACTAATTTCATACAAAAATCAGCCTTTTTCACTAACCTCTGTAAACCCTTTTTAGAGTGTCGTATGTAAAAAATGATACACCCGCATACGGTATTACTCCCAAAATAGTGGGCACATATCCCCTATATAAAACACTAATTCCTTCACAGTGATATATTTTCATAAATACCTGAAAATATACCAAACAACGCATTAAATGTTATTCGTTTAAAGAAAATACGAATACTCACTTGTCTTAGAGTTGAATATTCCTGTCGTGATGTTACGGCCATTCTCGCTCTCGCTAGGTCAAGTGGGTAAGTAAGTGATTGTGATGTGACACCAGCCAGAGATCCAGCCAGAAATAATTTCCCAGGCGTATTTCTAAAAGGACCAGTACCGATTTATTTAAACGTATACAACTACAAAGGAAATTCCTTACCCTCCTGCCTGGTCTACTTTGAGTACTCTCTTCCACTGTTCGTGTGCTGTAAACTGTATTGCAGCATGTGGCACGATTCGAGCCATAGTGGCACTGTTTCCTCTCCATAATGCCAAAAATCCCTCTTGCTTCAATGTTTTCAATATGAATTTAAAAGCTTTCCTAGTAGAGTATGGTTTGTGACTAAAATTACATACCTATAAGCTTTTTATTTTATTTTTAATATAAAAGTTTATGACTTACCTAACTTGAAAATTAATTTTTGTTCTATCTAAAGGAGCTATAGTTGTTTTGGCTAGAGCACCCGCTATGGCACCGGACGTAAGGGTAATAAGGACTACTTGCGAATTTTTCAGTTTTTTGTGAATTCCAGTACTATTGTCGGCACTTTTTGCCATATTGGAAGTCCTCGACATTAAGGCATTTTTTTATTAGACTTAAACTGAAAAAAGAACCTCGTTGAAATAACAGATGTATGTATATCCATATTTATAACAAAATCGGCACCGAAAACAAATCGAAACTAACCAAAGTTCAAAGATTCCGTAGAATTATGTAAAAAAATGCGATAAACTGGATAGGAATAAATATAAACTACTAATTTACAATTTCATTACATACCTGATTTTCAGGCCAACAGAAATTTTCATTTTATTTCATGGAGTTTCGACAGAAAAATCATTTTAAATAAATAAAAAACGCACTTATATGTAGTTCATTTATTATGATGTTTTGTAATCTCGTGACGCAGTTTTGATTTAATAACTGTACATCCAGTTTCACCTGTTCATTGTTCAGTTCTACCTGTGCCTGTTGTTAGCAAAACCGACCTGTTATCTACGTTTGACGTGTCTAGTTAGCACAAAAAACTCCTGTATATTATCAAAAATCGTATTATTTACATTATTAGTGTTTGAAAATGGTAATTTAATTGTTGATACACGATTTATTAAGTAACCTAATATTTAATTAGCCTATATGTTTATTTGCAGGCTCGCTATTTCAAGGAGAAAGATATAGATGGTAAGTACATTACATAGGTTGTTTATAATTAGGTCTTTGATGTAAACAATAAATATAAATAATACTTAAACATTATTATTAAGGATTTTTATTTCGTGAAAAACTAGGAATATTGACCTAGATTTATTCAAATTTGATATTGGTTTTAGAATTCAGAGAATGCTTTTACTTATTTGCCCGTTCTGGTACAATAAAAAGTTTGGATGAGTTGACTATTATCATGAGAAGTCTGGGATTGTCACCAACCAAAACTGAGATGACAGGGTACTTAAAGCAAAAGGTATGAAATCAGTGTTATTAATAAATTGGAAATATCGAAATGATAATTAGGATAATACAAGTAATTTTGATAACAAACTTTAAAATGCAGATGTGTCTACAGTATTTTTGTTATGTATAAGCAATAGAGCAAAAATAATGAATCAAAACTTACGTATAGTACACAAAGTTACATAGTGGGAAAAATAAAGTCAATTCTACAGAAATTTTTACTGTTATGCGTTTTTTAATTCGGCATTATTAATTAAAATTGTCAGTCAAATGTTTAATTACAGACTCCAACAATTAACAATACAAAATTAATTAACTTTTAAATTGTTGTTTTCCAAATTACAGATTTTAATCTAAAGCAAATATCATTTATTTACCACATTTTTTATTTTAATAATTTTGAATTGGGTTATACAATTAAACCTTGAACTTTGAACAAAAATATATTATGTATATCAAACTTATTTATTCCTTGAAATAGTTTATTTATACTATACTATTTCAATATAATTAAATTTAGATTTTATTAGAACATTTCCTTAATCAAATTATATACATATTTGAAATTCACTGGAATAATAGTACAATAATTATTTAAGGTGTACTATGCATATTTTGTAAATTTATCATCTGTTTGGTCTATGAAAATCCATTTATCTAGCAATTTGTAATCAGAACTTATGTTTATATTAGATAACAAAGTTAAATATCTATTTCTAAAAATGTTTCAGGGTGGCAAAATGTCTTTTCCGGACTTTTTAGAAGTTATGCACATACACTCGAAAGTAGAAAATATTCCCAATGAAGTTGTTGATGCATTTAAAGCAGCTGATAAAGAAAATACAGGCAAGATATCAGCCAAGCAACTGCGCAATTTGTTGCAAAACTGGGGTGAAAAGTTGTCTCCTAAAGAAGTTGACAGAATTTTCAGAGAAGCGAATGTTAACGCAGGCAGTATGGTTCGATACGAAGATTTCATAAAAATTGCCTGTGCTCCGGTTCCTGACTATTATTAAAATTATATCTACAATAAATCAGTTATATTATATGATCAAAAAGTACTACATGTAAGTTATATTTTTGAAAAGTATTCTGTACCTATTAATAACTTATTCAGTGATTAAAAATAAAGGTAACTTTCTGTAATAAAAACTTCCATTGGCCAAGAAATGAAATGGTAATTTCAAATGAAAATCAACACTTTAAAAAATTCGCAGCATCTCAAAGAAGCACTTAAGAGAATTTAACGTGTAAATAATTAAACTTTATATTTAGAACTACACAATTCCTAAATCTAAATCTACCCACCTAGTTGGAGTTAAATTCATTCAAAAACTATAGCTTAATTGGTTAGAACTTAATTGCCATTGACACTAATTGCAGAAACATTTTAATATTTAAAGAGAAACAGTAAAACTACATTTAAAATTTCCTTAAATAGGACTAGTAGTACAAATTACATTCATAAAAAAATACAAACTCAAACTCAAAAATGTGAAAAATGTCAAATGATTTCTTTTTATGACTCTTCCCTTTCAGACAAATGTCAAGATTCAGTCTTTTACATTTCGTGTTTTAATTATAAATGGGCTTTCACTCCTTAAGAATGCAGCTATTCGACAGCCAATTCCGAAAAATTGCCTTTAGTAATGACAAATGACAATTGACAATATATCAAACGAAACGTCAAATTTCGTTTATCGGCGTTTGTTTTCGATAGTTGAGGTTATTTTTCAAGCGTTGAATTTAATCTTTTTTTTACTATTGAAACTTTAATTCTATATTTTCTGCCGTTCGCTGTACCTTAAACACACTCAAAATGTCTGCTGCTATGCCAATAAATCCAAAACCTTTCCTCAATAGTCTCACAGGAAAAGCTGTTTTGGTCAAGTTAAAGTGGGGCCATGAGTATAAAGGGTACCTTGTGTCTGTTGATGGATACATGAACCTACAATTAGCAAATACAGAAGAATTCATTGACGGAAATGTAACAGGTATGAATATAATTTCATTTAATATAATATTGTACTAATAGTGGTTTACGGCAGCTCTAGCAAATATAGGATTTTATTATTAGTCCATAAATTTATGTATGTAAGTAAAATATAAACGTATTGTTTGTGTTTTAGGAAACCTAGGAGAAGTTCTAATTAGATGTAATAACATTCTATTCATTCGAGGAGCCGAAGAAGAGGACGAAGAGGGTGAAATGAGAGATTAGTTGCCCATATTATTAAGACTTTAAGAGTAAAATAAGGTATTTGTGACTTATTGATGAATGAATTGTGAGAATGAGTTGAATTAAAAACAAAAATACTTGTCGAATTTTTCCTAAAATGCAAGTTTGATTTACTCACCAAATCCTTTTGCCCCATTTGAAACTTTTAGCTAGGTTATTTATTGCTAATACAGATTTCTCCATTGTTTTTTTTTATTTGTACTTCAATTATATTTATAACTGAAAAGTTTTGAAATAAATTTAGAATGCTATTGAAATTATTTATTAAAAATTTAGGTAAGTGTTTAAAAAAGTATGTTTTACTTTAATCATCTTCCATATTATAATTTTGAAAAAAGACAACTATTGATAGTTTGGTTCAATTTCGATATGATTGAGTGTATTGTTAGTTGCATACATAAACGAGCATTAAACTTAATTGTTTTTACTACTTTGGTTATTAAAAAGTAATAAAAATTTGTTAAAAATTTTTGTAATGATTTGTCAACAATTGAGATATCCAATCCTTAGGGAGGAACAACACAATATCGTCATCATTATTGCGACTTGGTAGGTATTAGCTCAATTGTGTTGACATATTAGCTGATCCCCGCAAAATGACATTCATTATTTGCCTTGTGGGGTCTCTGGAGTGTATTTTACTGGCAAATATTGCGTACAAATCAATTACATATACATCTGTATTTAGCCGGCTAATTAATCATTTAATTTGATTACTTGTAAACATTAACAGGTAGATTTTTTGATTGATTCAATTGACGATGTAGGAGCTTAATTATCAATAGTTTTATCGACTCTTAAAATGTTTTCTTTACTAATTTTTATTACCTACTTAATATGAATAATTTTACAATTTTGTTAATGCTTTAAAAATGGAGAAAACTGTATTTTCCCACAGAAAAAAGCGTTTTTTCCACAAAAAAGCAACAAAAAAAGAACAAGCGACCACAAGAAGAAATTAGAATGGATGAACACTTAAAAAAACCCATAAAGATAAAAATAAATCATGAGGTGGATACAGTTCGATTGATTAAAAATGCAAGTATCCAACTTTAGAAAAGTTTGTAGGAAGTTTCCATTCGAGAATTCTTTCTACAATAAAATGAATTTACATTGGAAATAGAAACATGGATTACTAATAAACACTAGTTGCACAAATTGCAAACTCAGATACTTCGATTTTGCTTTATTTCCCCGACGTTGTGTTCCGCATAAGTTTATTGCAGAGTCAGGAAAAACGCTGGTTCCAGTGGCGTACCCTAATCGATTTTTCATTGCGGCCTGATTTATCGAACGATAGTGCCATTGACCTTTATTTTATTTCTTATTCATTTCTCTATACTATACCAATCGAAGCTCTATCTATTATCCAGGCAAATAATTTAATTAAAGAATATTATACCTAATTAAAAATACCTGCTGAGAGGAAACCTCAATTACTTAATGACAATTTAAAAAGGTTTCTTCTAACAGAAAATACCAACCTCTAATTTTTTTTATTAACAAGTTAATAAATCGCAAGGTACTGACTTCATGCTTAATTTTTATGTTTTATATCGAAGAGTAAACGCAAATTACAATTAAAGCAAATAATAACCGTATGACTATTTAACCCTACCACTGATTACCGAAAAAAACCTTCAATTCACCTCGTTATCGAAAACGCAAAACAAATACTCAATTATTTGTTCACAATTAAAATTTCAGGCACATTAACCCTTTAACCTAACATTTGTTAATCCTCTATTTGGACAAAAGGGTTTTCGGGGCTATTAAGGGGCCGGAAGAGCAAGAGAGGTCGGCGCGTCTGCCCGGGCCCTGCCGCTTACAGTTCGCATTAATTAGGAAATAGTTCCCATTGTACTTGATCAAATACAGTGAAAATTGCACTTGACTGCAATAATTTATTGGCGAGTTGAGCTATTCACTATTACATCTATATTTACATATATAGTTAATTTTTGTGATTTATTTTATCCTAAATAATAGGTCTAATCTATTTATAGTCTTTTTATAGAACCTATAGTTAAAATAAAATTAATAATGTGATTAATACGGAGTGTCCCGTACAAGAACCTAACCGACACAGAGCAGGGGAATGTTTTTATGAGAGCTTAAAATATTTGTTTGCTTAATACAACAAACTTTTGAAGTATTGACGATTTTAAGTAACATTGATAGTATACATGACTTTATTTTTTAGCGTTTTTTTTTAATTAAAAAAACAAATAGACAAAATAAAATTACTCATGAAATTAACTAATTTTTTAAATCATCATCATGTAAAAAAAATCTGTAACATTTTAAGGGAGCTTCATCCCTGATGAACCTTTGAAATATATCAACATCAACTGATCTCTCCTAACTATCGATTAATGCTTATTACACTCATAACGTATACCAAATTTAGTTGTTTTAAGTTTAAGAATTACCGAGATATTTTTTTTTAATTTAATACTCCGGTTTGAAGACATATAACTTCTTAGGAATGTGACTTTGTAAAGTTAAGTTGAGTTAAAAAACATATGTTGGGCTCCCCTACACGCTCATGTTCTGTGTCGGTTCTTATGCAGGACACCCTGTATAGGCTGTGATAATTGATTAACATGTAATAATTTTTAATAAGGGATTGTATTTATTGGGGTGTGAGATCGAGCTGAACGGTATTATACAACCTAATGCATACATTAGATACAAAATATAGCTACAATTTAAAGATGTAGAGTATGATGTTATAGAGAAATATTAAGAAATAAAATGAATGAAATAAAATATGAAAACGGAAGCTTTAACATATTATACTTTCCAGATTGTAAAATGCAAGCATTAGTAAATAGCAGTTTCCCTGATAACCCCTCTGGTCGAGTTCAGGTATTATATTATATTTTTAATTTTCCAACATCGAATCAATTAGAGTTGAATTTATTTTTCCCTATTATATTTCAACACCATCTAAAGGAGTAATAGCAGTCACATTAAAATTTAAAATTATAACAAAGTTATTGTATTAATGAATAAATAAATTTATTCGTTTACCGATTTATCATCTAATTTTTATTTGTTTTTTTAACCGCTCGTGTTGGAATATAAACTTTAGAAGACGCCTAATTTCAGGCCTATACGATTTCGATCCGGCAAAGCCGAAATTTGTTTTTATAATTTTTTTCATTATCAACAAACCACGAAATGTCCTCGACAGTCAATAATTTTTTACGACTACCCCAGCTGGTGGCGAAAGAATTCATCTAACCACCGTTATAAGTTAAACGTGAAGTGCATAATATATTTTACGAGACGTAACCCATCCAATAATCCAAACTCAAAGATAAAATACGATCTTAACAAAATAGCCGAAATCATACCCTCCCTCTACGTGGAACATGTCCGCAATAAAGCTCAATTTTACAACAATATGGTACGAATATTCTTCGTGTTGACTGGCTATTGAGGTATAAACAAATTTCCGTAGCAAATTCGCCAGACCTATCCTGTTTAAGCGAGGCGGCGCTTGCCAGTCACCGCCCCCTTCTTCGCGGTCTTTCCAGAGTCGAGCGGCGATTCCCGTGCCCAAATTCGCTTCAACCTTCGTCGTGGTATAACAGTCAGTGCCGCCGGGTTGCAGTGTTCATGATTTATTCACTGAGAGTGCGTGATGGAGGACAATCAACATTTAGCTGATGAGTACGTCCAGGAATTCGTTCTGGATCATTTCGAGGACATTACAGTGAAACGTGAGGATAAGAGACAGATTATCGAGAGCGAAACGGCCTGGATGCATGATGACTCTTCGAGCAGGGTCTGCAGGAATCAGTGGGAAGATAGAAGGATACCTTCACCTCCGCCGGACTCCATGTACGTTCATCAGCCTGTTTTAGTTAACATGACGTTAATGAACGATCCAGGTACGCCACCCGATACTCCTCCGAATCACTCGCCTCTTCCTTGCCGACCGCAAGGCATGATGGACGACATGATGTGGTTTCCTCCAAGCATTCGTTCCGATCCCCAGCCGCTGGATCTGCGGCCTCATCCGCATTGTTTAGGCGGCGATCCCGATTGGGAACGTCGGGAATACGTCCCCTCTGGTATGATATTAGACGCCCCGAATCACCATCATATTATCCATCAACATCCACGGCCCCAATCTGTATGTTCCGGTGCTAGTGCTCTGTCCCCCAGAATGAACAATCACAATAGTGGATACTCCACCTGTTCCGAAGACATCGGCCTCAACGACGATATGCTGGTGACGCTTTCGGTAAGAGAGTTAAATAAAAGGCTGCACGGTTGTCCCAGAGAGGAGATAGTAAGACTAAAGCAGAAGAGAAGAACGCTCAAAAATCGCGGTTACGCACAAAATTGCCGATCGAAACGGCTGCAACAAAGGCAAGACCTGGAGCAGCAGAACAGAAGCCTTCAACACGAAATCCACCGGTTAAAGTCCGAATTGGAGAGGGTGTCCCAAGAGAGGGATGTGTACAAACAGAAACTCCACGGCGTCCCCAGGCCACCTCATCTGAACGGTAGTCTAAATTCGGATGGTCAAAGTTCGCCGGAGTCCTATTCATACCTATGACATCATTTTCCGGGTCGAAGAATCCAGTGATTTTTTGACCCCGCGGTGTATTAAAGATGAATGCATGTGAGGATATACCGCGAAATATGTACAAAGGGGATATAGACTAAAACTTTTTGGCACAATTGGTTTTTACCTGTAAGTTTGAGAATCGTTTCGTACTGATTTTCATCGTCCATTGGCATTAAAGAATAAATTAATAAAAAAAGTAGGTACACTTTATTATAAAAATTTGTATCTAATTTTGTGCAATTTAAATGCACTAGCTTATTTCATGTTTGATGAAAATTCCAGTACGAAAGTTCTTAATAATCTATTTTAACTAAAAATTTGAATTTTTTCGGTTATTATTTGTTAACGAATCACTTCATGTGAATGGCATATCTTTTTTCATTAGTCGTTTTTTCATTTTTATAATCTATTTTTATAATGAAACGGTTGTGTTATGGATAGTATATAAAATATGTTACGTTATTGTGTAAATAAATTTACTTAGTTATATAAGTACATTATAATTTTTTATTTAACGTTTTCCTTCTTGAACGAAGGTGAATTTAAAAATGTGTAAAAATATACGAAAATTTATTATTTGTATACTATGTCAATAGTTTTTTTACTGCAGATACAATTAAAGAGGAGACATTTAAATTGGATTTTTATTTATCATATTTGTTTCACTTTTCTTTTAAACTTAACTAATCATACATTTTATATAATTGGCAAAAAGTATTAAGTAATTATGAAAATTAGAGACTTTTTTATGAAAAATAATTCATAGCCCGCAACAAAGGAAAAGGCGGTTTAAAGGTAAGTAAATTTTAACCCAGGTATTTTTATATATATTTTTTTATTTTATGTTTTGTGTCTTGTCCTTATTAAAAAGAGATATTTCTCAAAAATATTCATTCACGATTATATTTTATTTAAATTTTTTCATAATTTTTGAGAAGTGTAATTTGCTCTTCACAAGTGTCCTGGTGAAGTGTACAAACATTTTAAAAAATGGTTAGGTATTTCTATATTTTATTAAAATACTTGTCCATTACCTGTAGCAATTATTTTTCTATTGCTGATTCTATAAGAATTTTCATGCTTTGCGTATACAAAAATATTGTTTCCCATGCAAAATTAGCTTGATTGAAGTGTATAGATATTATTAATTACATGTTGTTATGTAATGATTGCTGAAAAAATCAAGATAAAATATTGATTTGATAAAGTCTGCTGACGAAGTACCGGTACCATTAACACTTGCTGCAATCAATTCTTATTCCGATCGAAATTTATGAATGAATTTTACTCACGCATATATGTTTGCGCCTTTATATTCTTATCATTTTTGCAAATAAAAAAAATGAAAAAAAATCAACAAAGCCAGTCATAATATACTAAAATTACGTCGTGAACGTTTAGCTAGTAACCACTGTTCAAAGTCGTTTCAAAAATTTAAAAATTAATATGACCTTTATAATGCAACTTTTATTTGATAGTATCTAATAAAAGGATACGAAATGATGGCTTTGTTAACTGTGTTACAAATTTCTTAAATCTTACACCTAACTCTTATATTCAAAATACTTCCCTTGCTTGTTACAGTAAATATAATAGTGTTCGAGCCTACATATGTATAAAAATGTAGTATTTTGTGTGGAATTTTGAATAAATCATTTATATTTTAATTTTTATTAAGTACTTTACTAGAATCACTTTTCCAAAAAAAAATGAAAGTGTTGATGTTGATTGTGTGAAAATACGTATGCATAAAAGGGACAAATGGGTATAAAATTCGCGTTGAAAACCTAACTTATTCTAGAATATACCGGAAAGTCACAGAATCGCAACATAAATCAAGAAATTTTAGCATAGAAACAAATAAGCAATCATTTATCAATACTTTTTAACTATTAACTGACAAATGACCCCTTGGATTGATTAATATTTAGTTACAATGTTATAGTGTTTGATAATTTATAATTTTTTATTGATAAAAGATAAATCTTTTTATTTTTCTATAACCAGATGTTGCTTCTTATCTAAAATCACCAGTTTTATAATGATTTTAATTTGTATGAAATATCAATAAATGTTGATACCTATCCACTTTGTATTTTTCATTAGTAAGTAAAGGTATTTAGGTGCCCACAAAATAAAAGTAATGATGCGTTAAATTTGAAGTTAACTGCAAAAATAATAAATTGGTACCTACTTTTTATTGATTTATTACAATCGGAAAGTACACGTACCTATAATGTAACCAAGTACTATACCTTGTTCAGCTGTTAAGCTAAATGCAAATTTCATTCATTAGTTGGATCAAAGATAACTCTATGTAAATTATAATTCATTAAACGGAAATCGGCAATCTTCATGAATTATTGTATTATCTAATGTAATCTTATTCTGACGAATGTTTACAATACTTCTAGTAAAAAAATGATGTCTTATTTCTAATATTTTTATCTAATATTACCGTACCTACGTTGAAATGAATAATGAGAATATTAAATTGCCTGAGAAGTTGTCGTTAATTTTTTGAAAATTCTTATCGGTAAGAATTCTTAGTAGGTAAAATACCTCGTAGTAAGGTACTTCTTGAGCTATTTTGTTTTTATTCCAAATTTATTAAAGTAACTGTATACAATAGAAAGTAAGAAAGTAAAAAAAAGCTATTGTCTATCGGATTTGTCGGTGGTATTCCAACAGGTTCGTTCTGAAAGCAAAAATATTACGACATGTAATCCGATAGACCATCGCCAAATAAATATTTCCTTTCAAGATAATAACCACTTATTTGATTATAACTTATGCGTCCGTTCGGCAACGATTCAAAACGGAATGTTCGATTCAAACGTGCCTCATTTAGTTTTTTTTATAAACAGACGTCGAAGGGCAAAATATCTTTCGAGCTTTAATGCTAGGTACATGGAGAAACAAATCGGAGATCACTTATGAATGGCAGAATCTTGTTTTCTTTTCGAAACGTTATTATAATAAACATGTCTCCGGTTATGTCGGTAACGAAATTTACAATCGGTCGAGCCGCTTATGGTTTTTTGAAAAATAATATATGGGTAATTTCAATTTTTTGTCAACAAATGGTAGATCAAAGAAGAGCTGAATAATGCACTCAATCGCTGAATCGTTTGTTTCAATTTATTTCTATATTTTATCATTGCACATAAAATTCAAATTTGACCAAATGGTTTTTTTATGGTAAAATACTGAAACACCAATTTTTTCTATAACCATAAGGGAATGAAATCACAAAATACAATTTTTGTATCTACCCATTGTGATCATAGAGTAAGAGGATTCTCAACCTAATAAAAATTCTACAGAAAAATTCCACCCTACAAGGAAACTCTTCGCAATTTATCCAGTTTCATCTACATCCAGAAAATGAAATTCGGAAAATTCGAAACACCATTGGCCTATATTCGAACCGACTGATTTCTAATAAAAATGACGTCACACGTGAGCCGGTGGAGAGGGTCGGGTCAGAAGTGACTGGGTGACCAATAAAGCAACGTCAGCGTTCTATTGGAGAGCGGCGTCGCGACGGCGCATCTTATTCCGACGCCCAGCCTAATTATTTCACCTGGCGACGGGCAGAGGAGACGGAAGACGGCCCGACAGTGTCGTAGCGCTATCGGAGATGTGAAAGTTAAGTTGTGCAAAAAAAGGAGCAAGGAGTTGAAGGTTTCGGTTTCGAGGAATCCTGATGACATCGTTGACCCGAATTGATCGAGGGTATATCGATGGAATTTTTCACCAACGTATCTGTAGAAAGGGGAGAGTCGGAATCGGTGGGGTGTGCATGTAGGTCAAGGCTGGGGTAGATTATAGTTGAAGTTTCAGATAAAAATAGAACGGAAAGTTCGACAAACACCAGAAACTATCTAGCCATTTCCTCTACAAAACATTGAAAATAGATATACTATTTAACAATCATCCTGTATATACGAACAGCAAGTGCGCATCTGAAAATTCACAACAATATTACGATAAAGCGTTTCACGTTCTCTACGAAAACGATACACAAAGTTATAAACGTGCCCTTTGTTAATAATCCACTGCAAGTTTGATTACAATTAACAATGTGCTGATGTATTTCCTTTTTCTTTTAATACGGTTTTGTGTTACGTCGTTCATCGAATACGTCTCGGTGCAGGCCGCTTTTCGCTGACCGCGGTTTTTGTTCGAGTGTCACCTTGCTTCTAGGGACATCCAACAGGATAACCTTCTTTGATTCGCTATCATAGACGAGCGATAAGAACGTGAGCGATAAGATCGAATTAAACGGATCTTTTGTTTCAATCTCGGTGATTATCTCTATGGGAATAAATCCAGAGTTTCCTTGATAAACGCTTGCAGGAGATACAAGCAATGTTTTCACACACGTATTTAGTGTTCTTATACAAAAAATAGGTTTACCTACCTGAAATAGAATTAAAAGCTAATTTGGGACTTGATTCAGGAGTTTACATTACGCTCGACATTTTTTAAAAATATTTTAATATAATTGTATATCTACCTAAATAATGCGCATTAACTAACTAAATGGAAGGAGTAAAATTCTACAAAGGTGTATTATGTATAGGTGTGATATAGGTTAATAAAGCTCTTCATGTTTTGAAAACAACAAATGTTTTAAGATAACGCACGTGAATAAAACCTGTGAAATGAATGTCCTTGTTCTTTTATAGGAAATAACTTCTGTAAATAGTACTTATACTGTCGGTAGCACTTGTTCACATTATTTAATGTTACCTAAAATGATCTAATTGATGCAATAACATCAGAGACGCTCTTATTCAATTAAACTGGAAGTTTTTTAAAACTTGAAGTGAAAAATTTATTATACATTTCAGTTTGATGCAATATGGTCATTTGTATGAGTTGAACAAAGAAAATTATTAAAATAACAATTTATTTTTCCTTTATAAGTGTCTACTGGAAGTTATCTTTACGCACCCATAGCTTAAATAACCTACATTGCAAACTAAAATGCATCAACATGTATATTGATAAATGTTACAAATGTAAAAGGTACCTATAAAAGTTTATTGAAACAGAAGAATTATACACCTTAAAGACATTTCCTCAAGTACCTAGATGAAGAAAATTCTATATTAACTATAAAATGAATTAGTCTGCAATATTTTTGGATATAAAGCCTTTAATTGAACATAATCTTATATAACAAAACTTTATATAAGAATATTATATTACTGAAATATGTGGTCATTCACCTAACTTTACAAGAGCAATGGAATCATATAGACACGTCCTAAACTTACGTTAG